GTTTTGTGTTGAGGGAAATGGTGCCGGCTGTGAGGAGCTCTGTTACAGGTGAAAATCAAAGAGCATCTAATGGCTCAGTGCATCTGTGAAACATCCCTAGCACCACTCTGAAACAAGTTACACTGGCTCATGAATTGCCTTCTTTGGTTTTAGCGCTAACAAACAACGGTATACAGTTGAAGTCGGAGGTTTACATACACTTAGGTTGGAGTCATTAAAACTCGTTTTTCAACCACTCCACAAATTTCTTGTTAACAAACTATAGTTTTGGCAAGTCGGTTAGGCCATCTACTTTGTGCATGACAAAAGTAATTTTTCCAACAATTGTTTACAGACAGATTATTTCACTTATAATTCACTGTATCACAATTCCAATGGGTCAGAAGTTGACTGTGCCTTTAAACAGCTTGGGAAATTCCAGAAAATGATGTCATGGCTTTAGAAGCTTCTGATAGGCTAATTGAAATAATTTGAGTCAATTGGAGGTGTACCTGTGGATGTATTTCAAGGCATACCTTCAAACTCAGTGCCTCTTTGCTTGACATCATGAGAAAATCAAAAGAAATCAGCCAAGACCTCATAAAAAAATGTGTAGACCTCCACAAGTCTGGTTCATCCTTGGGAGCAATTTCCAAACGCCAGATGGTACCACGTTCATCTTTACAAACAATAGTATGCAAGTATAAACACCATGGGACCACGCAGCCGTCATACCGCTCAGGAAGGAGACTCGTTCTGTCTCCTAGAGATTAACGTACTTTGGTGCAAATCAATGCCAGAACAACAGCAAAGGACCTTGTGAAGATGCTGGAGGAAACAGGTACAAAAGTATCTATATCCACAGTTATACAAGTCCTATATCGACATAACCTGAAAGGCCGCTCAGCAAGGAAGAAGCCACTGCTCCAAAACCGCCATAAAAAAGCCAGACTACGGTTTGCAACTGCACATGAGGACAAAGATCGTACTTTTTGGAGAAATGGCCTCTGGTCTTATGAAACAAAAATAGAACAGTTTGGCCATAATGACCATCGTTATTTTTGGAGGAAAAAGGGGGTATTTCGCAAGCCGAAGAACACCATCCCAACCGTGAAGCACAGGGGTGGCAGCATCATGCTGTGGGGGTGCTTTGCTGCAGGGGGGACTGGTGCACTTCACAAAATAGATGACATCAATTATGTGGATATATTGAAGCAACATCTCAAGACATCAGTCAGGAAGTTAAAGCTTGGTCGCAAATGGGTCTTCCAAATGGACAATGACCCCAAGCATACTTCCAAAGTTGTGGCAAAATGGCTTAAGGACAACAAAGTCAAGGTATTGGAGTGGACATCACAAAGCCCTGACTTCCATCCTATAGAATATTTGTGGGCAGAACTGAAAACGTGTGTGCGAGCAAGGAGGCCTACAAACCTGACTCTCAGTTACACCAGCTCTGTCAGGAGGAATGGGACAAAATTCACCCAACTTATTGTGGGAACCTTGTGGAAGGCTACCCGAAACGTTTGACCCAAGTTAAACAATTGAAAGGCAATGCTACCAAATACTAATTGAGTGTATGTAAACTTCTGACCCACTGGGAATGTGATGAAAGAAATAAAAGCTTAAATAAATCATTCTCTCTACTATTATTCTGACATTTCACATTCTTCAAATAAAGTGTCTGATCCTAACTGACCTAAGACAGGGAATTTTTACTAGGATTAAATGTCAGGAATTGTGAAAAACTGAGTTTAAATGTATTTGGCTAAGGTGTATGTAAACCTCTGACTTCAACTGTATGTCTGCTTCAAAATATCTTTATTATGGCTTTGGTAGATTATACAGGGATACCGATTTTAAATGGGTCTAGTATGGTAGAGAGAGGGGGAAGAGAGAGTGGTAGAGAAGGGACAGAGAGAAGGATGGTCTCACTGCAGTCCACTAATGTCAGCATGGGGCATGACTGATCTGCTAGAGCTGGATCTCCGCACAGACTTTACTCCTCTCTCTCTCTCCCTCCATCTCTTCTCCTGTCCCCCTCCCTCCTGCCATCTCTCACTCCTCTCTCCCTTACATCATTCTCCCCTTCCTGCTTTCCGCTCTCTCTTTCCTTTCTCCCTCTCTCTCTCTATCGCTCGCTCTCTCCACACCTCACCCCCCTCTCTCTCCCTCTTCCTCTCTCTCTCTCTCTCTCTCTCTCTCTCTCTCTCTCTCTCTCTCTCTCTCTGTGACAGCAGTACAGGAATGATCATTGATGAATTCCTCTGCAAGTCCGGCTGCCCGGTGCAAACTGTAATCCTCCACATTGTAGGGGAGCAGCTCTCACCGTATTCCCGCCTTTCGTTTATTCCCTGCTTTATTCACCCTCTTTTCCTCCTCCGCTTGCCAAAAAAACAATATGGGTGGGGGGACACTCTCATAAAGCACCCGCGGAGCGCTGCTAATGCTGTGGATGCTGTGAGAGAGGGAGAAGGAGAGAGAGCGGTGCCTGTGGACTGCCAAGCCCAGTCACCAGTTGAATGCGGCCAGTGTGCCTGGACATGGATGGGAGCGCTAGGGTTGAAGATTCACTTGGGTACGCTGATGAGCGTCCAGCCCACTAGGGAGAATAATTCTCTGGAGCTTTTCCACAAAGGGCCTCCACCCTGCCTGCCTGCCTCTCAGCCTGCCTGCCTGCTACCTGCCGGGAATGAGGAGGAGTGTTTTTAAATACCTGCTGCTGTCCTGCCCAACTCTCTGTCTTTGCTGCCGCTGACTTACTGTAAGTAGCTACTTCAGCTTCTGGTGTGGTGATATCAGGGGTGCCCACTGCCCAGCACTAACAGGTTGGCAGTTGGGAGCATTGAACTCGAGAGCAACGAGCGGTTTAACATTTTGGCTGCATTGTGTGAAGTGATCTCTCACCATGCATGTTGAATTAGAGTTAGGCTCTCATTTATTCTAATTTCGTAGCCTAAATGAAATTCACATCAACAGGCTGATAGTTGGGTACGCTGACAATGAGGGCTTTTTTACATAAATGTTTCTATTGATGTGCGCTGCCTTGCCTGCTCTGTTGTCACCAGCTGGCTCCCTAATTAGGAGAACATTCCTCAGAGTAAGTTGGGGAGGAGAGTCGCTCACTGTCCTGTCTGTCCTCCCGGCTCAGCTGACGCTTATGGAGTAGAGAGTGAGAGAGAAGGGCTTAGATTTTTCCTGTTAAAGGGACAATCTTGAATTGGTACATCCATTTAGCTGTTTACCAAGAAGTGGCAGGGTGCATGCGTTGTTGTTGTTGTTCAAATCCCAGACTGCACCTGTGCGTCAATCTAATCAACATAATAAAAACAAAATATGTCTGTTTAAGCTAGAGATACCTGTATTTTTGGATGGGCTACGGCTCAATCCACCGCATCTGTCTATGTCGGCTTTCTGCATCTGCGGTGGAAAGTGGCAGAGCTACTTTGTCTGTAGCGTCCGAACGGTTTGGCCTACTAACTAATATGACCACTCTATGGAAAGATGAGACTCACGGACACGATGGTGTTCTCTGTTTTGCTGTACAACCCCCACAAGTGTCACGGGACCCGTCTCAATGTAACCCAGTAACAGTTAAGAAAATTAATGGAATTATGGAAGTAGTTTTGTGCCAAAAAATACATATATTTCCTGCGCTTTCTTATATCTCCTAGATATAGGACAGACACTTCAAAACCTTATTCCTTATGATTTATTTTTGTCTATTTTGCCATTTATTAATGTGTTACTCAAAGTGTTTCTATGGGCAATAGCGGTAAAGGCCAAATTCTATATTTTGTATGTATTTTTTACATATTGTTTTGATATCTATAGGTTCTAAAATTCTAAATCAAATAGCTAAATGATCCATGGTATGACCATCTTAAAACTATTCTGTATGTTAGTTTAGTAGAGGCCCCACCCCCCAAGGCATAGACTTTTAGGGGTTAAACAGGTCGTGGGCTTGAGGACAGCCAGGTCTCCATGGCGATTTCATTGTTGCCAGGAACACCGGAGACCTTGTTTCACGTTGTCTATCTCTGTATGTGCGTCGGTAGACCGAGGATGCCAGCTCAGATGGTAGGTAGAGTTGGAGGATGAGTTCTGTACAGCAAACTGCTAGTGTTTGTTATCACTTCTAGTTCTGATCATGACAGGTATTGTTTGTAGTCATTCTTCCTTCATGACTTTGTTTCTTCTCCTGTGGCTACAGGCTGCATGTTCTGTGGGTCTGGTTGCTCTCTGTGAGTTCTCTCTGTAATGTTGTTGCTGTAGCCTACTGTATGTATTCAGGCAGTAATCCCTGTAGTAAGGCTGGCTTTAGTTAGTAAATGTGTCTGTTGGCGCTGTGTGCAGTCCTTCCTGACATTCATATTAGGGCTTCGTCCCAACTCCCTATGTAGTGCACTACCTTTGACCAGGGCCCTGGTCAAAGGTAGTGCACTACACAGGGGAATATGGTGCCATTTAGGACGTATACTGGTTGTGTTTGGGTTGTTACTGTAGCTCTGTTTGTACTCCAGCACACAGGAGTGTCAATGGGGACAGACCTCTCCTCTCTCTGGATCCTCCTCAGCTGTCAGGTTGGATCAGGCTGGAGAATGGGGGATTCTAGGGGATGGATGCTCCTCTCCTCTTCTCTCCTGTCAGCTGTACTTTACCTGGCTGCCCAGTGCCCACACCACACCACCTCCAGGGAACTGTCAATTTCAGGGTCCACTGCTCTGGCCCAACTCCCGTTCCCTTTCCTCGGCCTGAAATCCTGCCATCGAGATGTCAGCCGGGATCTGTGTCTCACATCTGATACATGTCCTACTCCTCTTTTCTCTCTCCGCGTATTAAGGACAAGCCCTGGATTTCCCCAGTGACATGTTTTTCATGATTGGTTTTAGCTTGTGATCAGGGAACTGTTCATGGCCATTTGTCTGATTATGTGCAATCATGAAGGCTGATATGTGAATCTTGTTGTCTTTTTCGTGTCCCACACATTATGTCATTGTTTTGTCTCTCTTTCTCTGCAGCCACCAGTTCCACCAAGCTGGAAGACCTGAGCTATCTTGATGAACAGCGTAATACTCCCCTGCGGACGTCCATTCGGCTGCCCTGGCATAACACAGGTGGGAGGGCACCACAGGACTCCAAAGGTATGCTTCATGAAGGCCCAAAGAATGATCAAAGACTCCAGTCACCCAAGTCATAGACTGTTGAACAATTAATCAAATGGCCACCCGGACTATTTACATTGCTGCTACTCGCTGTTTATTATCTATGCATAGTCACTTTACCCCTACCTACATGTACAAATTACCTCAACTAACCTGTACTCCCGCACATTGACTCAGTACCGGTACCCCCTGTATATAGCCTCGTTATTTTATTGTGTTATTTTGTATGACATTTTTTACTTTAGTTATTTAGTAAATATTTTCTTAACTCTATTTCTTGAACTGCATTGTTGGTTAAGGGCTTGTAAGTAAGCATTTCACGGTAAGGTCTACACCTGTTGTATTCGGCGCATGTGACAAATCAAATTTTATTTGATTTCATAACTACTACTCCATCCATTGTAGTGTTAAACAGCATGGGAACTGTACACCAAGACTGCATCCCAAATCGCACCATATTCCCTATATAGTTCGCTACTTTTGACCAGGGCCTTTGTAGTGCACGATATAGGAAATAGGGTACAGTAACTATCTACTAAGACCATAGGGGAAACCAAACGTATAAAATAAACATAGGGGAAAATGTAAACCTATTCCATATAACACAGAAAAGCATATGATATGTTTCCTAATGGCTACAACATAATGGTACACCCACAATATCCTTTCAACAACTAGGCCTATCCTTAGAGCAGCTATTCAAACAGCAACTATTCCGTTAGCACCGTGTACATTACTCTTTTATCTTATCTTGATTTAAATCCCAGTCTTGGCTGACTGAAATCCCACAGAGTTAATATTTGATCACGCCATGAATAATGTAATATTACATCATTAAATGCTCACAAATTTAACCCTCTTTTAAAAACCCTTCTGTTTTCTCCGCCGCTGTCAGGATAGAGTTGTTAGTGTTTTGTAAAATGTCCCCGTGGACAGAAAGTTGTGCAACAGTCCACATTTATGAACATTATGTGTTTGGCTTTCCAGACACTTTAAGCAGTCTAATGGAAAAATAGAAAATAAATTGCAAACCTTTGCCATCCGCCTACATGATTGCCAATGGCTGTTTGAATGCAGTTGAGTAGCTTCTCCAACTAAACCTCTGTTCTCAGAGGGAACTGGCCGTGGTCAGGTAGTACGGCTAGTACTGATGTTTCTCTCTCATGCAGCCGAGGTGTGTGTGTGGGGTAGAGAAATAATCAACGCTGAAGCTAGCTGCCCTGTTGAAGATCACTCACAAATGGGCCAAGTCAATGGAACTAGCTGTACATAACAAAGACTGAGAGAGGGATAGAGAGAGAAATGATAGAGAGAGAGATCAGACTGATAAAGAGAGAGGAGGAAGAAGAAAGAGAGAGAGAGAGAGAGAGAGATCTGCAGAGGAAAAATAGCCCCCTCTGTTTCTCTAGTTGTGTAGTGGACACTGACTGCAGCCCAGGCATCTTCTCTCCTCCCCCTCAACAGCCCAGAGAAGAGTGTTTGGCATGCAGCAGGTGTTTATCGCCTGGCTGACAGTCAGCACTTATCACACTGCAACCGCCGTAGACAGACAGACAGTGTTTTCTGGTTCTGATTAACTGACATGTCAAAGCCAGGGATATTTATATTCCTCAAATGGTGTGAGAGCGAACAGTGTGAGAGTGAGATACACAAAGACGGTTCAGAGGAAATTCCAGGAGAAAAATATATTGATTTGAATCAGATTATCTAGGACTCGGGCTCCACATTCTGAGCGTGAGTGTCAGTTTCGCAATCCACAGAAATGTTGAACATTGCTTCATATTGCGTCATTTTGGCTGAGCGCTGGCTTTCAGAGGAAATAGATGAAAAATGTATGGTCAACAGCGCAGGTGTAAACAGTGTTTCATATGGAGACGTTCCCTTATAATCAGTGACAAAAACAGTTTCAAGGCTTGTCTTAACGCCAGAAACCTGGGAGCTGAGGCAAACGTTTGTCTCTTTACTCTTTTGCCTAGCTGCTTTTCAGCAACTGTGTAAATGTACGATGCATTATATTTGAACTATTTTCTTATGAACCCTCAGGGAGTAAATGTTTGTCTGTTTTATTTGGTTTCCTCCAGCCCGCTTCGCTCCCTATAAGCCGGTGGACATCATGCTCAAGCCGCTGCTGTTCGAGGTGCCCAGCATCACCACAGACTCAGTGTTCGTGGGCCGCGATTGGCTCTTCCAGCAGCTGGAGGACGTGCTGAAGGGCGGAGGCGAGGCCGGAGAGAGCCGCGGCGCCGTGGTTGTAGGCAACGTGGGCTTCGGCAAGACAGCTGTCATCTCCCGGCTGGTGGCGCTCAGCTGTCATGGCGGCCGCATGCGGCAGATTGCCTCCAACAGCCCCAGCGTGTCGCCCAAAAGTAAGAAGTAACCCCTAGTTACATCTCGAATGGCACCCTATTCCCTATATAGTGCACAACTTTTGAATAGACCCCTATATGCCCTGGTCTAAGATAGGGAATAGGGAGCCATTTGGGACTCAGGCCCTGTGACCCTAACATGAGAATACAGTGGTAGTGTTGGCAAGGACAATAGGATTTGAGGCTCGTCATCCAGTCACGGAATGCATCCCTCATGGCACCCTATTTACACCCCATAGGACTCTGGTCAAAAGTAGTGCACTATATAGGGAATAGGGTGCCATTTGGGATGCATCCACAGTCACATGCTGCCTGGACTAAATGTGACCTAATCCTCCACATCATCATTCATGTTGTTAGAACCATCATGTTGGGTGCTCTATAAGGAGATTGGACTGTGGGTTCATATAATTAAGCAATAAGGTCCGAGGTCGTGTGGTATATGGCCAATATACCACGGCTAAGGGCTGTTCTTAAGCAAGACACAACGCGGAGTGCCTGGATACAGCCCTTAGCTGTGGTATATTGGCAATATGCCACAAACCCCAGAGGTGCCTTATTATTATAAACTGGTTACCAACATAATTAGAGCAGTAAAAAGTAATGTTTTGTCATACACATGGTATACGGTCTGATATACCACGGCTTTCAGCCAATCAGCATTCAGTGCTCGAACCACCTAGTTTATAATGTGCTGATATAATGTGCAGTTAAATCCATCAACATGTACAGTAGTGACAGAGGATCTTCCTCTATCAAATGTTCAGGAACTCTTCTGACAGGAAGTAAATATTGTTGGTTTAGACTACTGTATGTTTCTGAACATAGAAGGGCACAGCTTTGGTTGCATTGATGTCATTTCTATGCTATCACGAGTTTTGAAATTCTGAACACTTTATGCTACGCGTAAGTCTTCCACACATTCTCTCAAGGTTATTCTGTACGAATGAGAATAAATACTCATTGTGAGAATCAAAAATGTATTGATTTGTCAAACAATGAAAAGTTATGCGTTGTGTCCCAAATAGCACCCAATTCCCTATATTGTGCACTACTTTTTACGAGAGCCCTATGGCCCCTGGTCAAAAGTAGTGCACTATACATGGAATAGGTTGCCATTTGGGATATGGCCATGGTTGCACCTGAACCAGCAGTAGAGTCTTCACAGTGATTCTTCCTGTTGATAGACCCTGATTCCCTCTCTCTCTTCCTTCCAGGTGGTGGGGACACCCAGAGCACAGACCTCCCCCTCAGCCAGCCCCCCCAGCCTACCCCGCCCCCCAGCGCCACCAACACCCTGAGGAACAACAGCTGTCCCGGCACCCCAGAGATCCAGAGACGCAACGAGGAGGCCGTCAAACGGCTGGCCACCAAGGTACTGGAAGTTCACCTGGCCAGATCACAGCTCATAGCCCAACCCAACAATTGGGAATGTTGTTGTTGTGACTTGTGCCAGTGTCCCAAATCACAGAGAGAGTTCTGGTGAAAAGTAGCGCTATGTAGGGAATAAGGTGCCATTTGGGACATACCCTTTGAGATTAGAAGGGAACTTATTTTTAAGTTGGTCTAATGTTTGCATGGAAATGTGTTTATTAAACATGACGGCTTTTGAGCATTGTCTCATTTCACTGGTCAGGTTCAATGAAGACATTTTGTTACTATGAAGTGTATCTTTGTGCTCAGAATAGCAAGAATTTGATGAGTGTCCAGGATCCCAAGAGCTTCCATTCACTTTCACTAATGAAGTATTCCCTTCTCTCTCAGTCTACTTCCCCTGTCCTTCATTTCATCCCTCCATCCACCACCTGAGGTTTAGGGAGGGAGGCTGTTGGGGTCTCTCTGACTCGCGTCCTTTCATATCCAGGCTGTTTCCATTAGTATTTATGAGGGTTTTATCCAAAAACATAATGCTGCATGCGGCACTCAGTTGATTTATGTTTGCTTACATTCATTTATTTTTATATGAAGCTAGTGAATAATAAAAATGTCCCTGAGGATCCTGGATGTTTATTAAAGACAATCACGGAGTCCCTGTTAAATAAATTCTCACATCATGGTCCTGTTTGATTTGCAGCTAGCACTGGGCTTAGTTAAATAACCATTCCTCTTAACTCTCCCTCATCAAATGGACATTATATCCAACATGAAGTCGCTCAGTCCCAATTGTCAGCTTGGCGGTTCCAATACAATGGAGAGGGAGAGAGTGAGAAGCTCATTGTGTGTCCTTAACATGTTGTAATTGCCTGGGTACTCTTCTGTCATTCACAGAGAGAGGCAAATGATGTGTCAGGCCAGACTCCACTAGGACTCGTCTCTGGCAACGTCCCAAATGGCACCCTATTCCCAATATAGTACACTACTTTTGACCATAGCCCTATAAAGGGAATAGGGTGCACTATAAAGGGAATAGGGTGCCATTTGGGACACAATCTCAGTGTTGCCAGGGAAACATGTTAGCAGTGTGGTCAGAAAGACCTCAGGTTGGGTACACTTTAAGCATCAGTTGTCAGAGCACCTTACCGATCACTGCACATGTACACATCCCATCTGAAATTAGCCCACCCAACTACCTCATCCCTATATTGTTATTTATTTTGCTCTTTTGCACCCCAGTATCTCTATTTGCACATAATCTCTTGCACATCTAGCATTCCAGTGTTAATACTAATTGTAATTTTTTGCACTATAGCCTATTTATTGCCTTACCTCCATAACTTGCTACATTTGCACACACTGTATATATATTTTCTGTTGTATTTTTTGACTTTATGTTTTTTTTACCCCATATGTAACTCTGTGTTGTTGTTTTTATCGCACTGCTTTGCTTTATCTTGGCCAGGTCGCAGTTGTAAATGAGAACTTGTTCTCAACTGGCTTACCTGGTTAAATAAAGGTGAAATTAACAAAAAAAAAAAAAAAAAAAAAAAAATCCTAAATCGGAAGGCTGTGGCTCACAGTTCACAACATGAAGATAGCAGCTTCCTACAATCTGAGGCGACTGTCAATGCGGAATGTCTTATTTATGGGTTTACTTATTCCAGCATAATGTATGTATATTATGGCTTGGCAACTTGTTGTTATTTGTGTGTAGTTCAGTAAGTAGCCTGTCCTTTACGGTTAAAATATTAACAGTGTCACCATCCATTTAATAATAATAAGCCATTTAGCAGACGCTTTTATCCAAAGCGACTTACAGTCATGCGTGCATACATTTTTTTGTGTATGGGTGGTCCCGGGGATCAAACCCACTACCTTGGCGTTACAAGCGCCGTGCTCTACCAGCTGAGCTACAGAGGACCACACATAGTATTTACACATAGTATTCTAACAAAGTGGATATGCTCAGGTATAAATTGCCTCTGAGATACCCTGCTGAGTTTAAAGCGTGATTACAGCTTATATATTCACCACCTAATTGTTCCATTTCACACAGAGTTCCCCATCCCACAGCTTTTTAAATATCCATCTGTCATTTTGCATATTATTTTATAGCCTCATATTTATTCCCTGTGTTGTTTCTGTAGCTCAATTGGTAGAGCATGGCACTTGTAACGCCAGGGTAGTGGGTTCGATCCCCGTGACCACCCATGCGTAAAGATGTATGCACACATGATTGTAAGTCGCTTTGGATAAAAGTGTCTGCTAAATGGCATATTATTATTATTATATTATATGAGAAATAAGCTGCGCCACTATCCATCTTGCATCTTAGCATGCCATTGCAAACATTACTGTAGGACTTTTAGAAATACTTAAAGGGCGACTGCACTTCCTAATTTGGCCTTGTTTTTCATCATTTCAATGCTCATTAAGAAATGCTAGCGGCCATGACTGAAGGGAAACGAGAGTTGTCTTGGGCTGTGGTTTGATGTGGGTGTTTCTTGGGTGTGTCTTTGCCATTCAATCACAACAAACAAGGACAGTAGCTAGCCAGTTCGAGTTGAAACATTATTAAAAGCAAGCATGACTAAAACATTCCAAGGCATTTCATTCACCCTTGTCCCTTGTGCTGTTACATCATATGAAGGGTTCAGAAGTCTTATGGAAAATAGCTTTAGAGGGGCCTGCTTTCTTTCTCCATGTCATGACTGTGAAGTTATTTCAACAACACGTGTTTTAAACACCCCTCAACATCATAATGACCTTCCACTTCTGCCCTGGATGGATCGGATCAGTGCTGCACTAACATGGGATAGTATAGCGTGAGATGACAACAGCAAGTCACCGCCATAGGGAGTAAATGTGCCAGGCAGCCTCTACGAGCCACGCGCCACTGAAGCACATCTGAACATATTTCAACTCTGTGAATCCCTCATGCAAGTTATGCACTAAACTGCTTTCAATGCTAACTCTCAAAGGGGTTCTCTACCTGTTGTGTAGTTACTGCCGCGCTACGCTGCATCTTCAGTCATCACGGCTAAATAAAAAGGAGATGCCTCTTTTCAAAGTCACCCTCATATCCAGGGCACTCACTTATGTATCTGCAAAGTACTGTATTTGATAGGCTTTTGCAGTTGCAATAAGGCACCGGTATCGCTTGATTCACTTATATGAGCATAATCACACTTGAAGGTTGTGTCCCTGAATTTGAAATGAATGACAGTCAGTTATGACTCTGGGAACTTTCAGTTGTACTGCAGAGAATCACCTAGAAATACGTGGCAAACACCAGATGTTCATGTCTCTGATGAAATAGTGGCCTGCATAAGGTGGAATATGGTCCACATCTGTGAGACATTGTACCTCACTGTTCCTGCATCCTTCCTCTCAGAGTAGCTGTACAGTAAAACAGTTTCTGATTAGCAAGCTGCTGTCTCCTCTCTTTCATTCTAATCCATCCCCAACAATGGACATCTGCTTACCTCTGTGTGTTTTCAGAACACAAAACCGCTCGCCCAGTGTCTGACGGCATTGTCTCTCTCACGGCAGTATGCTATATCGATAGCAAGGATAGTTTCTCTCTCCGATACAGCTCTTTATTGTTCCAAAATTATTTGTTGTAGCCTCTCGTTTGACTTCATTGTCTCAGTGTTTTCACATATACTCCTCTTTAAAAGAACCGATCTCAGTCCTCTTTAAAATTAACTCTGGGGTAAAAAAAAAAAAAAAGCGAAAGAACTCAGTTCTCTTTGTATTCACACTGCCCTTGCCTTTAAATGAGGACTCAACTCTTTTGCCAGTTGTCTTCAGCTATTTTGTGGTCCGGGTCCTCTTTACATTCACATTGCTATGTTTAGAAAGGAACCAATATCTTTTTCCAACATTCACTTTACAAAGTGCAGGACAAGCCATTCCATCAGAATGTGTTTTTCGGACAGCTAGATATACTGTACCTACTTACGTTTTGGAAGCTAATAGATTGCATTTAGTTAAAAGATTAGACATAATAATTTTAATAAGAAGATACTATTAACATGCAAATAATATTGGTAATAGAATAAATAGCAGAAGAATAACTGCAGATTAAATAAGGCTGTAATTACTGCTGTAATTATCTGCACCTTTAAGAGCTAGAATGGATTTTGTACTCTATGCTTTGAATCTTACCAAATATGTTGTCTTTTCACACTACTCAAACCCCACAATTGAATAAACACCTTATGAAGCTCTCTTAGCCTATAGATCACATATTGCAAAAAATTATCTGAACTAAAAATTAAAACACATATTTTGAAATTTATGTGCATCCTTGACAATCGCTAATCAATATCCAATCATCTTCTCTCTTTTGTGGCACCAATGAGAGGGTTTATGGCAGGGGAAACGGTGTTGCAGTAGGCTAGTGTGTGGTGCGGAAATAATGACAAGCCAACCTGGGGAGCTTTGTGTTCACATTGCCATAATAAAGGGAACCGGACCGTGGAATTCAAGCGAACCGAACTCAGACCACCTCTCGAGGTTCGTTTCGTGGGCTGTCTTGGCAGCAGAGCTGGTAGCAGTACTTTGGCAATGGTCCATACTTCGGCTAGTTTATCATTATGCCCAGTGAAAAAGTGGCCTGAGAATTCTCCACCACTCGAGAAGGCTCCGTAGATTGATCATGTTAGCCCGGCCGTCTCTCTCTGAAGGCTGCATTGGGCCAAGAAGTCCCCCCGAGTAGGTGTAGGACAAGCCTTCCCTAGTAACCTAGTCTGTCCAAACAGGAAAAAACGCCATCTGTCAAGCAGACGATGCAATAATACATAATTGGAAATTAAGACGGAAGCAGCCGGGCCAGGCCTGCGCCTCAAGGTCCTCCTTCCCTCGTCCTAGGCTACAATCGTGTGCCAACTTCCTCTGCCATTTGGATCTCAGTGACAGAGATCATCCTGGGTTTTAGCGCACGACTTTGCTACAGCTAAAGTGCTTATCCTTGATTTATAGTTTGGCGAGAGTTATATTTCTCCTATTGCAAATGAGACCATTTTCAGATGTCACAGTGGCATGATTTACTCGACGGTCGGGTCCAAGACATTTTCGTGGACATATTTAGAATCTATTTCTCATCTGATTGTGAACGTTCGGTTCTGAGACTGGTGTTGTTTTGGGCCAACTGTTTCTCTGATATATCTGTAGTCTGTGGTCCTCTGTAGCTCGATTGGTAGAGCATGGCGCTTGTAACGCCAGGGTAGTGGGTTCGATCCCCGGGACCACCCATACGTAAAAATGGATGCACACATGACTGTAAGTCGCTTTGGATAAAAGCGTCTGCTAAATGGCATATTATATATTATTATCTCGGGGACAACTACGTCATTGTGCCTGGGGACAGGCTGCAGGGCTGCAGTTCCTTTCTGCAGTAGACCCATGCAGAGGTATGGCTGCTGTGTGGTGCGTTAAGGTGCAGGAGCAACTAGCCAGTCACCTGCTCCTCCTGTCCTGCTGTACTTGTAAAGTGTGTCAGCTCCTCCAGGTTTGAGTGTAATTAGGACACAGAGAAAGAGCCACAGATCCCAAGGATCCCACCGCCCCCCTCCTGTCCCCCACCCCCTGTCCAAATCAGATGTCCGTGTCCGTGAGCACAGCAGAACCTGTTCAGCACAAGGCACAGGCAGCACATCCTACTTTTGGAGGTCCACCTAGGGCCCAGTGTTTTGGGGAGGTTAGCTGAGGTTGTTGAGCTTTGCTTCAGCCTGTTGATCATCGAACCCTCTGTCTGAGTAGGGAATGACACCTGGGTCCTATTAATTAGTGCACAGCGTAGCAAAAAGTTTCGCAACATTTCAAGTAGGCCTTCCCCGTTTCGGCCCGTTGGCTTCCGTTTTGTCCCTATTGAATACACCCCTGCTTAGGTGGGTTAGAGTGGGTTATGTGTGTCTGGTTTAGAGTCAGCCAATTCCCTTACAAAAAAAGATTGCAGTTTTGAAACTGCAGTAAAAGTGTAGAAACTGCAGTTGACTGTGGTATTTTGGACAAAGTAATTGCAGAATATCTGCAGTGTACTGCAGTTGAACTGCAGTTATACTGCACTGTAACTGCAGTTACACTGCAAAATTACTGTAGTAAAAAAAAACTGTTATTTTGGACACAGTATTTGCAGCCTACTGCATTTGGACTGCACTTTAACTGCAGTAATACTGCATTGTACTTCAGTTAAACTGCAGTCTGACTGCAATCTTTTTTTCGTAAGGGTTGCATCTGAAGTTCACAATACAAGGACATGCCTTCAAGTCCCAGCTTTGGTTTCAGACTAACAAATAGCATTTAGACTACTGTATTTTCACCTCCAAATTCCTATTGTATAATGGCAGCAGTGGAATGAGGTCAGGGACGGCTTAGTCGCTATACCGAGCTACTGTATTGCATCAAATGCCTTGTAGTCAACAAGCCTATTGGCTTTACAAGGACTTTGAGGTCACACAGCCAGCTTTGCAGTTTTTTGCAGACTAAAACCAACAACAATATAAGCTACTCATAGTTGACACTGTAGTATGGTTTTGTAAAACAAGAACATTTAGTAACTTCCTTTTGGAAATGTAGATCCTCAATGAGATTATTTATCAATGATTTCTTTGTAAATGTCTCTCATGGTCTGGGTTGTAGTTTGATTTCCTTACCGCGTCTGGAAGTCTAGAAGTTTGTTATTGATCCTCTCTATTTGGATGTCGGCCCAGAGGATGTCATAGTAGCCGTTGACGGTGTCGATGACACTGTTGTAGAGTCCGTAGAGCTTCTGGAGGAGGGTGAGCTGTCTCCTGATCTCCAGCAGCTGAGGGTGTTGGGTCACATATATTTTAAGCCACTAAAGTTCCTAAACAATTGTTCCCTCTCTTTTCTCCCATCCAGGTGGTTGCATATCACTACTGCCAGGCTGACAACACCTACACCTGCCTGGTGCCAGAGTTTGTGCACAGTATCGCCGCCCTGCTGTGCAGAGCACCCCAGCTCGCCGCCTACAGAGAACTGCTGCTGAAGGAACCCCATCTACAGAGCACGCTCAGTCTGCGCTCCTGTGTCCAGGACCCTATGGCAGCCTTCCGCAGGGGCGTGCTGGAACCACTGGCCGACCTCCGCAAGGGTACGATGCTAAGCTAGGTTCATTCATATCTGACTGTCTCACTGTCACTGGTGTTCATGGTCCAAAATGGACTCACAATGTTATAATCTAGGCCTTCAGTGGCTCAGGGTTTGTAGCAAGTGTATTCTAACTAATTGAACCACAGGTTTGCTCAGATATCTAGTCTAGACTGTGTAGAGAGCGACATATACTGACCATTCCAAGGTGACCTTCGGTCTCGTAAAAAATCACAGACAGGCTAACTAACTATGGTCACTCCAGAGACCGTTTACTGTGCTTTTCACTTCGTCCAGCTAGCTAAGATAAATGAGGGTTCCATTTCTTCCACAAAGGAACTGAAATGGGTTAAGCTCTGGCCTTACTGAGGAAGAAACATCTGCAGGGACATTGTTAATTGCTTAGTGTAGCCACTCTGTGTTTGCTCTGACATGGCATTGATTTTAATTGATTTTACGCTAAATGGTTAGCGGTACATTGTTATTGTCGTCACGGTAGAAGAATACAATGTCTCTGAGGAAGCCTGCGTCTCGTGACTTTTGTACACTACATGACCAAAAGTATGTGGACACCTGCTCGTCGAACATCTCATTCCAACATCATGGTCATTAATATGGAGTTGGTACCCACTTTGCTGCTATAACACCCTCCACTCTTCTGGGAAGGCTTTCCACTAGATGTTGGAACATTGCTGTGGGGACTTGATCCATTCAGCCACAAGAGCATTAGTGAGGTTGGGCAATGATGTTGGCGATTGGGCCTGGCTCATAGTCGGGGTTCCAATTCATCCCAAAGGTGTTCGATGGGGTTGAGGTCAGGGCTCTGTGCAGGCCAGCCAAGTTCTTCCACACCGATCTCGACAAACCCTTTCTGTATGGACCTCGCTTTGTGCACGGGGGCATTGTAATGCTGAAACAGGAAAGGGCCTTCCCCAAACTGTTACCGCAAAGTTGGAAGCACAGAATCGTCTAGAATGTCATTGTATGCTGTAGCGTTAAGACTTCCCTTCACTGGAACTAAGGGGTCTAGCCCGAACCATGAAAAACAGCCCCAGACCATTATTCATCCTCCACCAAACTTTACAGTTGGCACTATGCATTCAGGCAGGTAGCATTCTCCTGCCATCCGCCAAACCCAGATTTGTCCGTCGGACTGCCAGATGGTGAAGCGTGATTCATCACTCCAGAGAACACGTTTCCACTGCTCCAGAGACCAATGGCGGCGAGCTTTACACCACTCCAGCCGATGCTTGACATTGTGCATGATGATCTTAGGCTTGTGTGCGGCTGCTCGGCCATGGAAACCCATTACATTAAGCTCCCGATGAACAGTTCTTGTGCTGACGTTGCTTCCAGAGGCTTCAGCACTTGGCGGTCCCGTTCTGTGAGCTTGTGTGGCCTACCACTTCACGGCTGAGCCGTTGTTGCTCTTAGATGTTTCCACTTCACAATAACAGCACTTACAGTTGACAAGGGCAGCTCTAGCAGGGCAGAAATGTAACTAATTTGTTGGAAAGGTGGCATCCTATGACACTGCCACATTGAAAGTCACTGAGCTCTTCAGTAAGGCCATTCTACTGCCAATGTTTGTCTATGGAGATTGCATGGCTGTGTGCTCGATTTTATACACCTGTCAGCAACAGGTGTGGCTGAAATAGCCAAATCCAGTCATTTGAAGGGGTGTCCACATACTTTTGTATATATAGTGTATCTCTCCAAGGCAGACAGACAGACAGACGCACAACTATCTCAAGGTCATCATGGTCCATTCTGCACACACGCGACCCACCATTTTCCCAGTGCTCTACACTGAATCAATATGTTATTACAGGAGCCTAAACAGCCAATATAGATAAACCCAGTGTTTGTATGATGGAGATGGAAAAGAATGATAATCAATGTGCAGGGCACAGAGCAGAGGAGTGGGCAGACAGGCATGCAGCAGCTCTCCTGTGATGTTAGGGTGGACCGTGATGGTCCCCCTCTCATGCCGCCTCCCCCGCTGCCTCCCCTCATGACTTCCACCGTTCCTTATTGAAATGAATGGCCTGTTTGATTGGCCTGGTCGCTTGGGCTTGATAAGGGAGAAAAACTTGTTGATTTGTCCACTCCGTCAAAACGAGAAACCTGCATCGGAGCTTTGCACAGCCATATTAGAAAGGACTTAGCCAGCCCTAGGCTTGAGGCTTTTCAAAAATGAAGAAAAACGTCTGATTCTGATTGCCAGGAGTATATTTAACAGAATAAAGTTTTAATGGGGGTTTGGTTGGTGCAAATCTGATTTTGACATTCCAACTGGGAATTTTTCTGTTGTGAATATTTTAGCGTGTGTCTGATCGTCAATGTGAGGAGGAACCCCAGAAAAAGGTATATATTCCAAATGGTACCCTATTCCTTACACTCTTAGAAAAAAGGGTTCCAAAATGGTTCTTCGGAAAGGGTTCTACATGATATTGCAGTGAAGTAGAGCACATCACTTAGCGCACTGCACTGTAGATACGGCTGCCGACACACTCATGTTCATTCATTACTGCGCTAGCTGCTGTGGAGATGTGGGAGAATAGTAGAGAAAACCTTCTTAAGATGACTTAAGGCACAGCAAGGCAGTACAAGATTGTCTATAGAGTATGGTGTCCAACTAATGTTTTACTCTGTACGTTCAGTTCTTATATTTATTTACACGTTTCTGGCAGCAGCTTGTCTATATTTTATGAGCCAAAATAAAACATGGAAAAGATTAAACTTCTCTGCAATATGTCATGATGACTTGACCTGAAAGGTTTGCATTTATCGACTTGACCCTTAAGGTTTGTGAATTTTCTATTTGTTTCTTTCCACCGTGACCCCTGTTGACCCCTCTCTGGTTGTTTTCAGAGAGGAAGATTCCTGAGGAAGACCACATCATCCTGATAGACGGGCTGAACGAGGCAGAGTTTCACAAGCCAGACTACGGAGACACCATCACCTCCTTCATCACTAAGATCATCTCTAAGTTCCCCTCCTGGCTCAAACTGCTGGTCACTGTCCGAGTCAACCTACTGGTGAGGAACACTCCAACTGTACATGGTGTAATACTATACAAGTAAGATTGCAAAATTCCAGTAACTTTCCCAAAATTCCCAGGAATCAGGAGGTAATAAATAGGAAATCTGGAATCCTCCTACCAGGACTCCTGGAAAACCTGGGAATTTTGGGAAAGTTGCCAGATTTTTGCAACCCCACTCCCACTGTAGATGGTGTAATATTGTACAAGTCATGTACAAATTACTTGAGAGGGATATTATGTATTCTGCCTAATTGTTAGCATCTAAATATTTCACCATAGAGGTGTTCATGTTGAAATCCTACGGTATAATTCATGAATTCATTGAATTGACAGCACTCCATGGGAGCTTCACTGAATTCAAGTGCCATCTCAGCACATCTTACAGTTTAGACAGAACTTGCGAATTTCAAGTGAATAAGATACTTTTACAACCACCGTTGGTATGTGTGGGTATCAATATTTGATACCTCTCTCACTGAGTGACACAAACACTGGCAGATCCTGACAAGTGTAAAAGTTAAACTGCTTTAGGAAGGGTTTTATCCTTGTCATGCACTGTCCTCTACAAAGTATCATTTCTGTCGAGTGCATTGACAACGGTACTGGAAAGGGAGTAGGAGAAGTAGCACTGTAACAGTGACCCGGGAAACGACTGCATAACAAGGGAACACGCAGACAAGAGCCACTGACTGAAATTTACACTGAGTCTACCAATGGAGGAGAGGAGTTGAGCTGGCCTGTGTCCCAAATGGCACCCTATTCCCTATATACTACCGTTGACCTACTTTTAAGATGCCGCTGTCCATGTAGCCTGTAGTCTGAGCCTTGGGATAATGTGGCACCTGACTGACAGCCTTATCTGTACCAGCTCCAGACATTAATGCTTTCTCAGCCACTATGGCTCTTTCTGGCCACGGGTACCGCCACCTGTCAGTATGCATGGGTAGTTACACTGTACTGCAGCCAGGGGAGCATAGCAGGCAGCACTCATTAATCTATCTATGCTGTTCGGTTGTGCGTGTGTGTGTGTGTGTTTGGTTTACCTATCCTTGTGGGACCAGAAGTTCTAGGAAGGATAGTAAAACAAGGAAAAGTGGGGACATTTCGCCAACCCCCACAAGGAAAAAGGTTATTTTAGGCTTAGGGGTTAGGTTTAAGGTTAGGGTTACAATTAGGCTTACTGTTAGAATTAGGGTTAGGTTTAGGGTTTGGGTTAGGGTTAGGGGTTAGTGAAAATAGGATTTTGAATGGGAATAAATTGTTTGGTCCTCACAAGGATAGTACAAAAACGTGTGTGTGTGTTTTTCATGACTTCAGAATTGACATTTTTGGCAAGGTTCCATGAATGTGTGAAGGGGTAGGGGGGTAGGGCGTTATCCTCATTTTGTATTCAGTTCATTTTCCCCTTTGTTTTGATTCATCCTCGCATGGTGTGGGGGATTCTGTGATGTGGAAAGTTTTTCGGGATGATAGCCCGTCTGTATAGCCAGCGTGAGAAAGATCCATGTAGGCTGGATGTGATTGACATGGTGAAACAGTTTAAATTGGGAGAGAAGGAGTGTTAGAACCCCTAGACCAGAGAGAGGATTTCTCATGTTTATGTTCATTGGGATTTCTGGGTTGAGTTGGGATTAGGCTACATGTCATGTCAAAATAGATTAATCCATCATCCCAAAAAATAAAGTATAAAGGCTGATGGATTAGTCAACCAGAGGAAACAGTTCAAACATGCAACATTCTGGTAACTTTCCCAGGTTTTCCAGAAATCCCTGTTGGAAGATTCCAGGAAGTGGAAGGCAATGAGCAGGAAAATCCGGAATCCTTTCTGGAAAACCTGAACATTTTCTAGAAAACCTGGGTAGTTACTGTAATTTTGCAACCCTAGGCAGGCCCTTGGATACAACCATTCTCTCCTTATGCAGTAGGTTGGATCAGTGGAGACTAGAGCCAGGTGAGTGTTACCTCATCCTCACACAAGTGTAAACAAGATCTCGGGGGGAAAGTCGCTCACAATGGCTAACCCTACAGACTGATAACTGTGAGATGTTCTTTGGTGAGGTGTTGCTCACAGACACCTTGTTCAGCCTGTGTATTATTCAGTGTGTTTTCGGTCTCTTTTCTTCCTCCTTTCTCTTTCTCTCTGTCTATCTCCCTCTCTTCTCCCTCTCTCTCACTTTCGGTCTCTCCCTCTCTCTCTCTCTCTCTCTCTCTCTCTCTCTCTCTCTGAGAAGAAGGTGTTATCTCTGGGCTGCATTACCCAGAAAGGCAGGGAGATTGCAGCAGGATTAAGGTGGATTGATTTCTCTGACCCTGAGGAGTGAGATTGAAGTGTGGGCCCGCTAAAAGTGTCCCCAATGGCCCCATCTCTTACTCTCTCCAGCTCTCAGTCTCCCAGTTCACAAAGCCTTTGTTTGCAAACACAGCGGCGAGTGTCTGCCGATAGCTTAGTCCTCCAGCTAGCCCTGTGCTTACTGACCTTGGGCTGATAGGAAGAGCTGGAGGATCCACACATGATACAGCCCTCATGGAGAGTAGAAGATTGTCCATTTAGTTCTTCATTTTGCGCTTGTTTCTGTGGTCAGGAGAGATAACATTGTGGAATATACATTTAGAATTCTGGGCATACGCTTAGGTGTAAATTATATAGTTGATTTTGTATTTTTCTGTAAAACCGTATTGACTATAACTATATACAGTGGGGAGAACAAGTATTTGATACACTGCCGATTTTGCAGGTTTTCCTACTTACAAAGCATGTAGAGGTCTGTAATTTTTATCATAGGTACACTTCAACTGTGAGAGACAGAATCTAAAACAAAAATCCAGAAAATCACAATGTATGATTTTTAAGTAATTAATTTGCATTTTATTGCATGACATAAGTATTTGATCACCTACCAACCAGTAAGAATTCCGGCTCTCACAGACCTGTTAGTTTTTCTTTAAGAAGCCCTCCTGTTCTCCACTCATTACCTGTATTAACTGCACCTGTTTGAACTCGTTACCTGTATAAAAGACACCTGTCCACACACTCAATCAAACAGACTCCAACCTCTCCACAATGGCCAAGACCAGAGAGCTGTGTAAGGACATCAGGGATAAAATTGTAGACCTGCACAAGGCTGGGATGGGCTACAGGACAATAGGCAAGCAGCTTGGTGAGAAGGCAACAACTGTTGGCGCAATTATTAGAAAATGAGGGATCAGCCCAGAACTACACGGCACGACCTGGTCAATGACCTGAAGAGAGCTGGGACCACAGTCTCAAAGAAAACCATTAGTAACACACTACGCCGTCATGGATTAAAATCCTGCAGCGCACGCAAGGTCCCCCTGCTCAAGCCAGCACATGTCCAGGCCCGTCTGAAGTTTGCCAATGACCATCTGGATGATCCAGAGGAGGAATGGGAGAAGGTCATGTGGTCTGATGAGACAAAAATAGAGCTTTTTGGTCTAAACTCCACTTGCCGTGTTTGGAGGAAGAAGAAGGATGAGTACAACCCCAAGAACACCATCCCAACCGTGAAGCGTGGAGGTGGAAACATCATTCTTTGGGGATGCTTTTCTGCAAAGGGGACAGGACGACTGCACCGTATTGAGGGAAGGATGGATGGGGGCATGGATCGCAAGATCTTGGCCAACAACCTCCTTCCCTCAGTAAGAGCATTGAAGATGGGTCGTGGCTGGGTCTTCCAGCATGACAACGACCCAAAACACACAGCCAGGGCAACTAAGGAGTGGCTCCGTAAGAAGCATCTCAAGGTCCTGGAGTGACCTAGCCAGTCTCCAGACCTGAACCCAATAGAACATCTTTGGAGGGAGCTGAAAGTCCGTATTGCCCAGCGACAGCCCCAAAACCTGAAGGATCTGGAGAAGGTCTGTATGGAGGAGTGGGCCAAAATCCCTGCTGCAGTGTGTGCAAACCTGGTCAAGACCTACAGGAAACGTATGATCTCTGTAATTGCAAACAAAGGTTTCTGTACCAAATATTAAGTTCTGCTTTTCTGATGTATCAAATACTTATGTCATGCAATAAAATGCAAATTAATTACTTAAAAATCATACAATGTGATTTTCTGGATTTTTTATTTTATTTTTAAGTTCAACAAAGGGTTTAAGTATGTTAAAGGGAAATATTAAGAGTAGGATGGAGGATCCGTGCTGGGATCCAAAAGGGCTGTGTAGTGTAATGGCTAAAAAAATAGGTAGGGGGGGTACTGGACCAAATAGAAGACTGGACAGGATGGATAAAATGCAAATGAATTACTTAAAAATCATACAATGTGATTTTCTGGATTTTTGTTTTAGATTCCGTCTCTCACAGTTGAAGTGTACCTATGATAAAAGTAGGAAAACCTGCAAAATCGGCAGTGTATCAAATACTTGTTCTCCCCACTGTATATTAGCCCACATTTGCATAATATAACTCACCAACAGTAACTATTGAATCGTTCAAGCTAGATACACCAAACCATCTTTCATGTGTTCAAGCTATCCTAACTTGTCATCTACCTACTTTTTCAACTATAAACAGTCACCACCATTACTACTGCAGATACTACCACTACTATAACGTATTTCAAAACCATACATACTTTAAAACATGCTAGCAAACACCACATTTTCTTCAGGAAATGTACTTTTCAGTGATCACTGTTAGCCTAAAGAGTTAAACTATTAGGTCTACATACTTCTTCAACTACCACACATTTTTTTTAAAGAGCTGTCATCACTAGATGCACCATCATATTTCTCTCCCCAAATAACAGCCTAAAACTTTCTAATCATTACATCATCAGCCATCTAAAATCAAACTTAATTTACATTGAACATTTTACAAAAGTCAATTGTGCATCTATTTATCTGAAACCCACAGCATGAATGATTCAGAGTTGCTTTGCTTTCCTAAGACTGTTGGTCCACATGATCCTGCGTTTTATTCCCATCTTCTGACAGATCTCTTTGTCCTATATATTTATTCTTTTAGTTTTCACATGCAACAACTGTAGTTCAGACATTTTTGTGATCTAACTGCCCCACAATCCAAAGTAATATGGTTGATATAGTAGTCTATCAAAGTAATCAGACCAATTATTTTACTACTGTATCTGCTTTGCTTTAAATAGTAAAATATAACTTTTTAAACTTCTACCACAACCACAAAAAACTGTTTAAAGTGTTAAAGCAAGTCCCACCAATTGTACTTCATGTACAATTACCATCTAGTTGTTTTACCCACTTTGTCATTTACTTATACACAGAATTTTCTGTATGGGTGATGGTACTGTAGAACAAATATTTATAATATAATTAAGCAATAAGGCCTGAGGGCTGTTCTTCGTGCTAGGACACAGCCCTTAGCCGTGGTATATTGGCTATATATCACAAACCCCAGAGGTGCCTTATTGCTATTATAAACTGGTTACCAACGTAATTAGAGCAGTAAAAATAAATGTTTTGTCATACCCATGGTATACGGCCTGATATACCACGGCTTTCAGCCAATCAGCATTCAGGGCTCGAACCACCCAGTTTATAATATAACAACATAATATTCAAGTGCAGTAGTAAATCTAATGACCATGTGCTTGTGTCTTCCGTAGGAAATCACCAGCCTCCTCCCCTTCTCCAAGATCTCCCTGGACGAATTCCCAGAGAACAAGGAGATCAACACGGACCTCAACGCCTACATCCAGTACCGCATCAACGGCAGCAAGGACATCATGAACAACATCTCCCTCAATGGCAAGGCCGACCCCGTCATCGTGGGCAAGGTGAGCAGCCACCTGATCGCCCGCAGCCAGGGTTCCTACCTGTACCTCAAACTGACCCTGGACCTGTTCGAGAGGGGCCACCTGGTCATCAAGAGCGCCAGCTACAAGGTGGTGCCCGTGTCGCTGGCCGAGCTCTACTTGCTCCAATGCAATATGAAGTTCATGACCCAGTCGGCTTTCGAGCGCTCGCTGCCCATCCTCAACGTTGCGCTGGCATCGCTGCACCCCATGACAGACGAGCAGCTGTTCCATGCCATCAACGCGGGCGCCGTGCGCGGCGAGCTGCCCTGGGGCGACTTCCAGCAGCGCATGGAGACGCTGTCCTCTTTCCTCATCAAGCGTCGGGACAAGACGCGTATGTTTTGCCACCCGTCCTTCAGAGAGTGGCTGGTGTGGAGGGCGGATGGAGAGAGCACCGACTTCTTCTGTGACCCCAGGTGAGTTAGGCTAACTCAAATTTACCCAGGTTAGTTAGGCGAACTCAAGCTCAATCAGTGAGTTAGGCAAACTCAAACTTACCCAGTGGAACCCACTCAAAACCTGCCTACCATATTCTGTCAGGGGGTTAATACTGACAGTAGAGTTTTTATCAGCAATACATTCATAGTATTAGGGCCCTATAAAATCTGTTTTATTTTGTGCCTGATTCCATTTAGTTTTTTCCAAAATTCTGTTTTCTCGGTTTTGTTTTTCCAGGTTTCTTTGCTCTCGAAATCACATATTTTTAATAGGAAAAAAACAAATTGCATGTTTTAAGTCCACAACAATGCTTAAACCACATCAAGAGACCACTTTTGAGGTCTGGGAAAAATCAAATTCATTTTGCAAGTGCCCACCAGCCAGAGACTGGTGTTTCTGTAGCGCTCAGGTGATTGCAGAGTTTGCAAAAGAAATGGCCACTGGATTGATGCAGATAATCATGACATCATTCTGCCAGGTAGGCATAGGCTAATTTGTAGTTAACATTTCATTGAGAAGGTTTTTGGGAAAGCCTTTCCATCTACCAACAGACTGTTATCATTAGCATTATCGCTAACAGCTACACAAAGTGAAGACTAGACATACGCGGCGCACCGTACACAACACACATAGACAGGGGCATTCCTGTGCTGTTTCAGAAAGTTGCTGGAATATACGAATCACTGATGCATTTTGTTAATGTCTTATGATTAACTTGTGCAAATTCATGCATTTTCTAATAAGTTCAATACATTAAGTTGATTTCCTATTCAATACATTTTTTAATATTGTTGAATCCATTAAATATGTCTTGATTCCGTGATGCCGTCCACGTTTTCCGCAACGCAGATTTTATAGGGCACTAGGATATTTATCTTTTCAGTCATTCAATTGTGTTAAATGGAAAATACACCCTCTCTATCATGAGTGAAATATATGTGGTTGCCTAGGGATGGCTTACTCTGGCATTTCTGCTAGCACTCAGAAGGAGAATACATAATTAGTGTACCTTGTTTGGCTCTGCGTATTCTGCTCTTCAAATGCTTTTTAAAATGTAAATAGCGAGGGAGACAGCCTACCATTTTGTTTGAGGAACAGACAAGCTCAAGCCAGTTTTGAAGGGTGGTTTGTGCACTAAAGAGGGAGAACATTCCCATCAATAAGAAGTTGTGCGTGACTCATCTCTGCCTGGGAGACTGATGATGTCTGTTTCTTCGCTTGAAGAGGAAATCGAACATTCAAGACAACGTCAACTTTGAGTTATATCAATCCACTCCTTTTCACTCAGTCAGATATGTTATTGCTCCCTAGTTTGTATACTGCCATTGATTGAAACACAGGGGTAGGCTACTTGTGTAATCCCCAAGGGGGTAGAGGACGACGTTTCGCTACAGAACAAATGATGGAATTTACAGCTCAACTCTGAAACAGAAGCTGACAAGTTATATTTCTTCCTGTTGCTGTTAAGCTGTGCTCTGCTGGGTGAGGAAGCTAGCCAGGGGAAGTAGTGGTCTGGTCAAAAATAGCGCACTAAATAGTTGAATAGGGTTCCATTTGGGACGCAGACGATGTTGTTTGGCAGAAACACAGGGGTTGTCACTATACATCGTAGGTCACATCCCTGTCACATTATCTTACTGGGGATCTGACTGATGGGTTGAAAGCCAGGAAATGTAAGGCTCGTTCAGTGCTGTGCGTGCAGGGAAACTGTGCGTGCAGGGAAACTGTGAGTGCAGGGAAACTGTGAGTGCAGGGAAACTGTGAGTGCAGGGACATTTTGCTCAAGTTCACTGAGGCTGGATGTTTACTGACAAGGATTTTTCCATAAACACTATTCAGTGTAATAGCTATCAGTGGAGTTTAGACACCTCTGGCAAGTGGTGAAACTGAATTTGCTCTTAGACATGATTTTCTCTTTACAGCGATACTCTGAAGTTGGTAAGCTGTAGGCTTAATAACAAATGAATACTATACAGTAGCTAGCATTACTACTATAATAATAACGCCAATAACTTGTTGTGCTGTCCCTAAAGTATCAACACAGTATGCCGTGTTATTGTAGATTTAAAGAGAAATCTTTGCAAACAAGCACTTGATTTGGTATTAAAGATTGTGGATAAAAAATGTGGTTTATGCAAATCAAGAGGGAAGAAAGTACAAACATTGGTGGGAAGGGAGAAGAAAAAGGTTCTGGAATTTAAATATGTATGCATCCCATCTGAAATATTAACAAGTAATCTGCTGCATGTTCTACTTGATTTTATACTGAACAAAAATATAAAATCAACAAATGCAACCATTTCAAAGATTTTACTGAGTTACAGTTCATATAAGGAAATCAGACAATTGAAATAAATAAATTAGGCCCTAATCTATGGATTTCACATGACTGGGCAGGGGCGCAGCCATTGGTGGGCCTGGGAGGGCACCCACTGGGGAGCCAGGCCCAGCCAATCAGAATGAGTTTTTCCCCACAAAAGCTCTGGTGGACAATCCTGTAGTCAGCATGCCAATTGCACCCTCCCTCAAAACTTGAGCCATCTGTGGCTTTGTGTTGTGTGACAAAACTGCACATTTTAGAGTGGCCTTTTATTGTCCCCAGCACAAGGTGCACCTGTGTAATGATCATGCTTTTTAATCAGCCTGTTGATATGCCACACTTGTCAGGTGGATGGATTATCTTGGCAAAGGAGAAATGCTGACTAACAGGGATGTAAACACATTTGTGCACAAAATTTGAGAGAAATACGTTTTTTGTGCGTATGGAAAATTCCTGGGATCTTTTATTTCAGCTCATGAAACATGGGACCAACACTTTTTCAGGCAAAGAAGCGCCACTCAACAATCTGTAACAACTATCATTGTTTCCTGCAGTGTTGTCTTGTGTTCCCTATAAAACAGGACTGCCTGACTTTAGCAGCACTGCCTGACTGTGATTCTATGCTCTTCATACCCTCGTTATTGACTAAAGTACACTCTTAGAAAAAAGGGTTCCAAAAGGGTTCTTCGGCTGTCCCCATAGGAGAACCCTTTTTGGTTCCAGGTAGAACTATTTGGGGTTCCATGTAGAACCGTCTGTGTAAAAGATTCTACATTGAACCTGGAACCAAAGGGTTCTTCAAAGGGTTCTCCTATGGGGACAGCCGAAGAACCCTTATAGGTTCTAGAGAGCACCTTTTTTTAAAAGAGTTTAATGCACACTAATCAGTATGGGCATGCGTCTCAAATGGCAACCTATTTCCTATAAAGGCCCTATGGGCCTTGGTCAGAATCAGTGCACTACATAGGGAATAGGGTGCCATTTGGGATGCAGCCTGGGTGACCTCACTTTCTCTCTGTCCTGACTCACCTCTGCATACCTCCGCCAAGCTGCACTGACCTACTTCTTTACACCGTCTCTACCCCTCCAACACAATCTGTCAAAACAAAAGCAAGCGAAGACCTGTCACAAGGACAGACACAGAGAGCTAGAAGAAAGCTCTTAGCCGCACTAGCTAGCTGCTAGCTTGTTATTTTCCCATTTAAAAGAGAAAGCGCACATTAATGGAAAAGGATCAAAGTGAAATGGCGGTCATGCGTGGCCTTTTAATGAAGTTCTCTGGTAATTAACACTTGCAAGCAGATCTACAGTGAGGAGAGGAAGGGGAGTGGATTCAACACAAGGACTGCATTCTCTAGTCCACATCGCTTGTCCTCCTCGTGGCCCCGGCCAGGCAGAGACAGCGTTTAACAGCGTTTAATCAGACCGACAGAGAGACCGGAGTGGAGTAATGGATAGAATAATGCACCATGATGACAACAAACTCTCCAATCTCGCAAGACAAGAAATATAAATTCTCAATGATCTGTCTCCGACTACCTGGGTGAATTAAAAAACGCAGCCGTCACTCCCCAATTGGCCAAACTCGAAAGTGGATGTATCAATGTATCTCTCACATTGATACAAACTAAGAACATCCTACCATGACATAACCACATGTAGACAACTAGACATTGTTTTTCCAAAACCTTGCAAACTTTTAGTTGATAGTAAAGCAAATAGGAGATGGGAATTGTCTTTGTGTTTCCTCTACAGGAGTGGACACGCACTCATGGCCTTCATGCTGTCACGACAAGAGGGGAAACTTAACCGGCAGCAGACCATGGAGCTGGGCCACCATATCCTTAAAGCACACATCTTCAAGGTACAAGAGACTAGCTACTTACTGTAGTGCCAGTATTTTCAAAGCGTCTCAGAGTCGGAGTGCTGATCTAGGATCAGTTTAGTATTTTCGATCACAGTGAATCAGATTACATGGACAGGGGGACCTGATCCTAGATCAGCGCGCCGACTCTGAGACTCTTGATGCATACGGCCCCAGAAGCTTACAGTGTACACTACCGGTCAGAGTCGGTAGTGTACAGACCAAATGACACATTTCCACCGGTTTAATGTCTATTGCCCGTGTTTCTTGGCCCAAGCAAGTCTCTTCTTCTTATTGGTGTCCTTTAGTAGTGGTTTCTTTGCAGCAATTTGACCATGAAGGCCTGATTCACACAGTCTCCTCTGAACAGTTGATGTTGAGATGGGTCTGTTACTTGAACTCTGTGAAGCGTTTATTTGGGCTGCAATTTCTGAGGCTGGTAACTCTAATGAACTTATCCTCTGCAGCAGAGGTAACTATGGGTCTTCCATTCCTGTGGCGGTCCTCATGAGAGCCAGTTTCATCATAGCGCTTGATGGTTTTTGCGACTGCACACAAAGTTCTTAATGTAATGTTGGACTGCCGTTTCTCTTTGCTTATTTGAGCTGTTCTTGCCATAATATGGACTTGGTCTTTTACCAAATAGGGCTATCTTCTGTATACCACCCCTACCTTGTCACAACACAACTGATTGGCTGAAATGCAGGAGAAGGAAATTAAGAAGGAAATAAATTCCACAAGGCACACCTGTTAATTGAAATGCATTCCAGGTGACTACCTCATGAAGCTGGTTGAGAGAATGCCTAGAGTGTGCAAAGCTGTCATCAAGGCAAAGGGTGGCTATTTGAAGAATCTCAAATATAACATATATTTAGATTTGTTTAACACTTTTTTGGTTACTACATGATTCCATATGTGATATTATTATACAATGTAGGAAAGAATAAAGAAAAGAATAAAGAAAAACCCTTGAATGAGTAGGTGTTCTAAAACTTTTCACCGGTAGTGTATATCCCACCTTTACTCGAATTCAATTCCTTTTGTGAATTTTAGAGTGCATATGTATGTTTATTTATTAATCAAGATAGATATGGACGGTATCATCAGAGGATAAGCCTTCTGGGTGTGAGAGAAGGCTCTGAGAGTGCATGGCTGCATTCATCACTGGTTTATTGACCTGGTGTGTGTGCATGGTTTCTCTGTCTCTGTCCTAAGGGTCTGAGTAAGAAGACAGGCGTGTCGTCCAGCGTGCTGCAGGCCCTGTGGATCAGCTGCAGCGCTGACGGCCTCTCTGCAGCCCTGGCCTCTCTGAGGAACCTCTACACCCCCAACGTCAAGGTGAGACTACCTCCCACCTCCAGACCCCTAGACTCTCACCTGGAGCACTGCCTTGACATACTGACATAGGATATGCTAGTTATTTATTCGTTTTTTCAGGGTATTTTGTGCTTGTTATTGATAGATACAGTGAATAAGTTATTGAGATGGAGAGATAGAGGGACATAGAATGAAAAGTGGTGCAGTCAGGGTTTAAACCCATTCCTCCAGGGGCAATGTGTGGTCCGCGAGCAGCAGCACTACCACTAGAACAACCCCTAGCCTCTTCACTCCTGTACGGTCTCCCGTCGATGAAGGCGACATCCCGTAGCCCGAAAATATGTTCACCAGCCCTTTTCTTTACCTATTTACGATAAACTTTTCCCATCACTGAAGGCAAATCTACCAGTCGGTACGGGCTATACAATGTGTGAAAATAAACTTTTTTATCCAACTTTTCCAGAGTTTACTGAATTCTCCCTAAAGGTGCACTGCCATCTGGGATCGCGTGGCAACTACTACAGAGTATGGGGACTAGGGAGTGAGCTTTGGGAAATGTAGATGTAAACGTTTATTTTTACCATAGTTCACACGTTGCATTTCTTGATGATAGATTTGCCTTTGGTGATGGGAAAAGTTTCTCAGGAATAGGTAAATGTGTTTTTGGGGTACGGGATGTTGCTTCAGCGATGGGAGACACCCAGCACTGACATATTTTCTTGAGTGTGTGGTACCAGAATACATTTGAGTGGATGGTCATTGGTCTCCCTGCATTTTTTCTATCACATTTTCCCACCAGTGATTTGTATTAGCACAGTGGTATTATTGTAATCTACTCTCCTCACCTCGAATGTCCTCCCTGAGTGCTTTTTAATTCCATTGATGGCTCCCAGTGTGCTTTATGATAAGGCATTCTGATCTGGTTCCTGGAAACACTCACTTACGGTGATGAGTGTGGCCTCGCCACTAATGAACAACGGCCCATTGGAAATCTCACCAAGATTCTCACTGGGCTCAGATAGATTGATGCCGGTTGTTGCACTCTCTGCCATTACTTTGATCCATTGCTATCTGTGATGCTGCTCTCTGCGGGGGAAAAGGAGGCTGTGCCATTCTAAGTAATTACAGGGCCCTTTTAGATTAGTACTAATTTAATAAACAAAAGGGCCACGTTAATGGCGGAGCGGGCAAAATTATTTTTGATATTAAATTATGCCTTGCTGCTGTGTGTCTGTGCTTACTCTATTATGACGGGAGAAAGGAAATAGCCCTCCTAAGGCATACAAGGCAATTAATTATCAGTGGGGAATTATTATATTCTAGCTTCAAGCAAAAACAATCATATGTTTTTCTTTGCCATTAGCAGTACTCTTATAGTGTCGTTTTATTACACTTTTTCCCTGAATGAAATATTATGTTTGAGTGTAACATCACTCATGTAGACAGCCACAGAAAGAGTGAGCTTGTTCCTTTTCCTCCAAGGCCCCCTAGGAATCATTGGTGCTAATTTATTCAAGTGCGGTTCCGCCTGTAAATAAAACAAATTCAATTTCCTCTGGTTTTAACACTATCTGGGCTCCACTCACAGCTCTGTCTGATCAAACATGTATTATACATTTCCTTATCAAGGAGAAGAGGAATACGAAGAATGTGTACTCTTGTGTTGAATGCATTTCTAAATTAGTACATGCATGCTCCAACTTTGTTTACCTCATCACAATTCTGAGATTAGTTTTAATGTTTCAAGCAAGGAAGGGAAAAAAAAGGTTTTATTTATTTATTGAATGATCTCTTGCTGAATTCCATGTTCTATTTTCTTTTACACATTTAGGGAAGCCAAAAAGTTGAATTCCGTGCTTATGTTTTTCTTACACGGTTAGATAAGATTCCTTTTTTATTTAATGTGTGCTGCTCTTGCAGGTGAGTCGTCTACTGATGCTGGGCGGGGCCAACGTGAACTACCGGACAGAGGTGTTGAACAACGGCCCGGTGCTGTGTGTCCAGTCCCACTTGGGCCACCAGGAGATGGCTGGCCTGCTGCTGGAGTTCGGGGCCACCGTTGACGTGGTGTCCGAGAACGGCATGAGCCCTCTCTGCTTTGCCTCAGCCGCCGGACACCTGGGCCTCGTCAGTCTGCTCTGCAAGAAAGGAGCCAAGGTTGGTAGTACTACCCGTTAGACTAACCGATTACAGTCTACTAAGCTATATGGAATTGTTTTAAGAAGGTCATACCAAGGATCATTTAGTGTATATATATATATATATATATATATGTAATATATTTTTAAAAAGGACATTTTTTATTTGGCCTTACTGCTATTAGCCCATACAAACACATTGAATAACAGATTCACTACATGGAACAGATAGTCCCCCAAAAAATCTAAAGGAAGTTTGTTCTGAAGTGTCTGTCCTATATCTGAGAGATATAAGAAAGATCAGGATATATGTTTTTTTTTTTTTTTTTTTACATGTATTTAACCCCTTATTTTGGCACTAAACAGTCTACATATATACTATATAACTGGTACCTGGGGAGCTTCAGACGAGTCTTGTGAGCCTGTGGGCGTCCTAGAGCAAAACATGTACTCAAAACGGAGAACACCATCGTGTTTGTGAGACTCATCTGTCCATAGAGGGATCATAATAGTTTGTTCGGACGCTACAGATGATTTTGTGAGAAGACCGATTGTCGGGATGTCTCATGGTCTGACAAACACCGTTCTAGCTCTGTCACCTTTCACCGCAAATGCAGAAGTGCGACATCGGCAGATGCAGTGGTTTGAGACGCAAAAACAGATATCTCTAGCTTAAACTGACAGATTTTTATATTATGCTAATTACATCGACTCTAGGGGGTTTTAAGAGGAGCGAATGCGAGATGACAGAGACTGGCAACACATGATTAGATCAGGGCAAATACATCTATAAGAACCAGGAGAGACATTAGATCATAGAGGGGAGACATTAGCTCTGAGATCATATTTTGGAGCATAGCTTTGAAATTGGATAAGAGCTCACTTAGATTGTAAAGCTACTCTGGTAGAGTGTAGCAGGAGCAACGTCACAGCATATAAAACATGTTCAAATAAGCACTGTTGTTGTGTGTTCTAGGTTGACCATGTGGACAAGAGCGGTCAGTGTGCTCTGGTCCATGCTGCTCTGAGGTGCCACCCTGACATCATCCACTACCTCCTGGAGCTGGAGTGGACCCCCGAGGGCCAGCAGCAGAACTGCAGCCTAAAGAACAAGGCCCTCCAGCAGGCTCTCATCGCTGCCTCCAGCATGGGACACACGCAGGTCAGTCAGGAGACACCGGTAAAATCCCAGATGGCATCCTATTCTCTAAATAGTGCACTATTGTTGTCAAAAGTAGTGCACTATGTAGGGAATAGGGTGCCATTTGGGACGCAACCACCCACTGTACTGTACTGTACTGTACACACACACACACAAGTCCTTAGTACCTTACTATAATCAGGAAAGTTATCCCACACAGTGCCACAACACAACCTCACCTCTTTAGTTTGGAAACAGAAGACACTCCACAGAGAATCACTGATGCTGCCATCACTGATGCTTCTTGTTTTCACTGATGAGACATGCTGTAGGAGTATTGATCCCACAGTATGTCTGCAGCTGGCTGCCCAGAAGAGAAGCATAGTGGGCTTTGGTTTATTCTGGCCTGCTCCTCATTAAGAGGGCTGCGATACCGTTAGGCCTATACACTAGGGCTGGGGCTGTGGGTCGGCAGTATTACAGAAATGGGTCGGAGTGAGCTATCGACCTCCACCTCCACAGAGGGCCCAGTGAGAGAGGAGAGTAAAGGAGAGCACAGACAAAGGGGCTAGTTAACACTGAACCTGTACTGCACAACACTGACGAATATCTACTATAGACACTATACAGCCACTATAGTCCAGGCATCAGCACTCTAGTCCACAGGGATTCATTTATCATGCGCCAGAGAAGCATCATTTGCTCGGGCAGCTTTTTATCGACCTGCTGAAGTTGTTTCATCGCTCCGGTTTTTCTGTAATGTAATCAGCGCGCCGTAGAGCTAACTCAAGGCTTTATTTGATGTTTGGATTCTAATAAAACATTCTCAATCGACAGGTTGTCAGAGGCTTGTTGGTGTTGAATAACGAGCATGCCGTGCAAATTGATGTCCATGACACTCTGTGGGGAGAAACAGGTATGTTTTCTCTATATTTTTCTTCCATTATACTGCTCCCTTTGTGTTATCACCTGGTGGAATATCAGTGTGGAACATTACTGCTGAAATGATGTCTTTGTCGAGTATTTTGTATTCTATCCCTTTCCAGCAGCATAACACTTTCTTTCTGCATTATGTAGTGCAGGGCTCTCCAACTGGCGGCCCAACTAATACTAACTAATTGTTTAGTTTTTTAAAAAGTATTCTCACGCATAATAGAGAGATATATGTGATCGAATACAAATGTAAGATTTGTAATGATTGTTTTAGTCAAGTATTATATCTCTCTATTAGACAGCTTCTTGCTGTCAATTTGTAAATAATTTGTAATTATGTTCCGGCCCCCTGACCATCCGCTCAAGAAGAAATTGGCCCGTGGCTGAATCTAGTTGATAATCCCTGATGTAGTGGTTCACATTTACACAAATATGTGGTCATTTTTACTTTTAAAGCCTGTCCAATTTTCCCTGTCCCCTTCCATTAAAAGCATCCCTGCTTTGTTCATTTGGGCTTTTATCTGGATGGAGAGCCATCAGGCTATCCTGTATCGGTAGTGCTAACTGAGTGATTTTCTACTTTAGAGCAGAATTACAGGCATCGCTCCCAGCAGTCAAGTCTAAGCGCTGAGTCATCGGTGCAGTACATTGTCCATTTAGGTCATGCCAAGCCATTTGTCCTGTTTTTCTTCTCTGTCATTAGAACACACCAGCTCATATATTCCTTTTAGTAGAAGTCAAGCCAGAGCTCTAGTTTCTGTTAAAGATCTTCAATGAATCATTGACATTTAAGCACTGCAGAGGAGGATTACGTTATTTTTGTTTGACAAAAGTTGCAGTGGCAATACTGCAGATGTCGGGAAAGGTCGAAGTCTTAGGTCTTAGAGGGGCAACAAGTGATTTATAAGTTATATTCTTCAAGAATCAATAGCTACAGTACAGTGCCTTCAGAAAGTATTGACACCCCTTTTTCCACATTTTGTTATTACAGCCTGAATTTCAAATGAGTTACATTTAGATTTTGTGACACTGGCCTACACACAATACCCCATAATGTCAAAGTGGAATTATGTTTTTAGTAATTTGTACAAATTAATACAAAATTAAATCTGAAATGTCTTGAGTCAATAAGTAGTCAACCCCGTTGTTATGGCAAACCTAAATAACTTCAGGATAAACAATTGGCTTAACAGGTCAGATAATAAGTTGCATGGACTAACTGTGGGCAATAATAGTCTTTAACATGATTTTTAAATGACTAACCCCATCTCTGTACCCCACACATACAATTATATGTAAGGTCCCTCAGTTGAGCAGTGAATTTCAAGCACAGATTCAACCACAAAGACCAGAGAGGTTTTCCAATGCCTCGCAAAGAAGGTCACCTATTGGTAAAAAAATGTGTATCCCTTTGAGCATGGTGAAGTTAATAATTACACTTTGGATGGTGTATCAATACACCCAAACACTACAAAGATACAGTTGATGGAGGCCAATGGTGACTTTAAATCAGTTACAGAGTTTAATGGTTGTAATAGGAGAAAACTGAGGATGGATCAACAACATTGTAGTTACTCCACAATACTAACCTAAATGACAGAGTGAAAAGGAGGAAGCCTGTACAGAATAAAAAATATTCCAAAACATGCATCCCGTTTGCAATAAGGCACTAAAGTAATACTGCAAAACATGTGGCAAATACGTTTTTTTTCCTGAATACAAAGCATCTTTGGGGCAAATCCAACACAACACATCACTGAGTACCACTCTTCAAACAGTATTTTCAAGCATGGTGGTGGCTGTATCATGTTATGGGTATGCTTGTCATCGGCAAGGACTAGGGAGTGTTTTAGGATAAAAATAAACGGAATCCAGCTAAGCATAGGCAAAGTCATAGAGGAAAACCTGGTTCAGTCTGCTTTCCAACAGACACTAGGAGACAAATCCCCCTTTCAGCAGGACAATAACCTATAGTGCCTTCAGAAAGTTTTCATACCCCTTGACTTATTCCACATTTTGTTGTGTTACATTTTTTTACACAGATTTTTTCCCTCATCTACACACAATACCCCATAATGACAAAGTGAAAACATGTGATCAACAATCAACTTAACAGAGCTTGAATAATTTAAAAAAGAATAGTGGGCAAATATTGTACAATCCAGGTTTGCAAGCTCTTAGAGACTTACCCCGAAAGACTCACATCTGTAATCGCTGCCAACGGTGATTCTAACATGTATTGACTCAGGGAGTTGAATACTTATCTAATCAAAATATATTTGTGTTTTATTTTCCATTAATAAAAATAAAAAGTAGATTTTTCTTCCACTTTGACATTACAGACCAAAAAATTACTTTGTAACACAACAAAATGTGGAAAAAAATCTAGGGCTGTGAATACTTTCGGAATAATTAAAAAGTCCACAAATAGATGTACACGTCCCAAATTTCCTATTTAATGGCCAGCTGATTGTATATGCTGGACCTCTTTTGGAGGAGGCAGGAAAGTTGGGACCAATAAAAAAAAAAAACACCAGCTGAGAGACAAAAAGCAGAAGCAGGAGAAGTGGAGCTGGCACTGGCAGGGGGTGGCTGCAGGTCAAAGCAATTTAAGATTGATCCTGGAAATTGTGCAGGAAGCCAAGTGGAACAGGGAACAAAAGTCTAAGGTTATGTCCCAAATGGCACCCTAATTCCCTATATAGTGCAGTACTTTTTACCAGGGCCCATAGCACCCCATTCCATACATAACACACTACTTTTGACCATGGGCCCTGGTCAAAAGTAGTGCACTATATAGGGAATAGAGTGCCATTTGGGACAGAGACTATAAGCAGGGGTCTGTTGTCATATAAGCGCTGAATAAATCAAATGTCTGTGTTTTGATATAAAATAAAGACGAGGCCCCTAGGTATGGAAGTATTAAAATGGTCTGAGATCTGGGATGGGTTTGAAACATTTGCCACCGTCACAGTACCCTCATGCTGATAAACATTACAACTTACCAGTACCATCACCATTCATGTTGGTGCAGCATTTCTGTGTACTGAATGAGTAAACACACATCGTTAGAATATTGTGTCCCAAATGGCACCCTATTCCCTTAATAGGGCTCTACTTTTCACCAGAGTCCATAGGGAATAGGGTGCCATTTGGAACGCAGACTACAGCAATACAGCTTTTTAGAAATTCTTCTTGTGGTTTTTGTTATCATAATGGCCTCTTGTGGAAAGCTGCACACTGGAGATAAAGAGAGACAGAGACTGACACCACAGATTCTCTTCTCTGAGGTAGTCCGTTAAAGATGAGAGTACAACAGCACAGAGCGGGATCTGTGAGTGTCAAGTGTTCCAAGTAGCAGAACTTCACTTGTAAGGCCCAACACGAAAGAGACCCATTTTATATGATCATGGTGACCAACTGTTGCTCAGAAATCCTCAAATGGTCCAGAAGTTCCCAACCCCTCATCATTCGGGCAGCTCATTTAATGATGTGTGTTTATTTTTAGCACACAGTCTAATGGTGAGAGAGAATGTTTTTTTAGAGCACACAATCTAATGGTGAGAGAGAATGTGAACAATAGTCTCTCTGTGGCCTCAGTAGTATGCCAGCCTGGTGTAGGCAGCCAGCCTAGCAGTAACAAATGGCTCTGAGATGTAGGTCAGCCCATTAGGACTAGGAGAGAGAGGCTCTGCATCCCAAATGGCACGCTATTCTCTATAGTGCAATACTTTTGACCAGAGCCCAATGGGCCCTTGTCAAAAGTAGTGCACTACATAGGGAATAGGGTGCCATTTTGGAAACAGATGATGTCTTCTCAGTGCTACTGCTGCTAACTGGTGCTGCTTCTGCGAAATACATTTCCTGGCAAAAAAGAGCTTAAGAGCTTTGGAGCTTATTACAGTGCCTTGCAAAGGTATTCATCCCCCTTGGCAATCTAAGTGTCACATGATCTGTCACATGATCTCAGTATATATACAACTGTTCTGAAAGGCCTCAGATTCTGCAACACCACTAAGCAAGGGGCACCACCAAGCAAGCGGCACCATGAAGACCAAGGAGCTCTCCAAACAGGTCAGGGACAAAGTTGTGGAGAAGTACAGATCAGGGTTGGGTTATAAAAAAATATCCGAAACTTTGAACATCCCACGGAGCACCATTAAATCCATTATTAAGAAATGGAAAGAATATGGCACCACAACAAACCTGCCAAGAGAGGGCCATTCACCAAAACTCACGGACCAGGCAAGGAGGGCATTAATCAGAGAGGCAACAAAGAGACCAAAGATAACCCTGAAGGAGCTGCAAAGCTCCACAGCAGAGATTGGAGTATCTATCCATAGGACCACTTTAAGCCATACACTCCACAGAGCTGGGCTTTACGGAAGAGTGGCCAGAAAAAGCCATTGCTTAAAGAAAAAATAAGCAAACACGTTTGGTGTTCGCCAAAAGGCATGTGGGAGACTCCCCAAACATATGGAAGAAGGTACTCTGGTCAGATGAGACTAGAATTTAGCTTTTTGGCCATCAAGGAAAACGCTATGTCTGGCGCAAACCCAACACCTCTCATCACCCCGAGAACACCATCCCCACAGTGAAGCATGATGGTGGCAGCATCATGCTGTGGGGATGTTTTTCATCGGCAGGGACTGGGAAACTGGTCAGTATTGAAGGAATGATGGATGGTGCTAAATACAGGGAAATTCTTGAGGGAAACCTGTTTCAGTCTTCCAGAGATTTGAGACCGGGACGGAGGTTCACCTTCCAGCAGGACAATGACCCTAAGCATACTGCTAAATCAACACTTGAGTGGTTTATGGGGAACATTTAAATGCCTTGGAATGGCCTAGTCGAAGCCCAGACCTCAATCCAATTGAGAATCTGTGGTATGACTTAAAGATTGCTGTACACCAGCGGAACTCATCCAACTTGAAGGAGCTGGAGCAGTTTTGCCTTGAAGAATGGGCAGAAATCCCAGTGGCTAGATGTGCCAAGCTTATAGAGACATACCCCAAGAGACTTGCAGCTGTAATTGCTGCAAAAGGTGGCTTTACAAAGTATTGACTTTGGGGGGGTGAATAGTAATGCACGCTCAAGTTTTCTGTTTTTTTGTCTTATTTCTTGTTTGTTTCACAATAAAAAATATTTTGCATCTTCAAAGTGGTAGGCATGTTGTGTAAATCAAATGATACAAACCCCCCAAAAAATCCAGTTTAATTCCAGGTTGTAAGGCAACAAAATAGGAAATATGCCACGTGGGGTGAATACTTTCGCAAGCCACTGTACATCCTAGGGACAAAGATATAGGGCGGCAGGTAGCTTAGTGGGTAAGAGCGTTGTGCCAGTAACCGAAAGGTCGCTGGTTCTAATCCCCGAGCCGACTAGGTGAAAAATCTGTCGATGTGCCCTTAAGCAAGGCACTTAACCCTAATTGCTCTGGATAAGAGCGTCTGCTAAATGACTAAAATGTAAAAATGTATATCCCCTTTCGAAATGGGCCTTCTTCTCTGAAAACGGCTACTTTCCATCTTAGGGCCGCGTGTTTGTATGGCTGAGGAATGGGCCAATGTTATTTTAGATTGGGCCAGAAACCTTTTCTTTTTTTTTATCATAAAGTGCTGCTTCATGTTTTGCACCTTGTTACATCATCACACTGCTGCATAACAACATTTCTGTTCACACCCCCACCACCTACTTTGTTCCTTACTTAGAGAAGGATACTTTATTTTTACTTGTTTAGACAGTAGTGCAAGAGGTATAGGACAAAATACTAATTTATTATAAGTGGTAGGCAGGTGTGTATGGCATGCTTTAAACAGAGCGGATTTACACCCAGGCCTTGGCTGGTGGCCCTGTAGACATTATCATTACTGTGAATAATCAGTAGTCATGCTTGTCTTCATTCTCAAAGTCATCCAGTATGTGCCACCTGCTGTAGCTGACAGTGATCCAACATTTACCTCTGAGCTCTATGTATTTACCTGGATGCTAAATCATAGCCACGTCCCACCTTCTAACTCCCATCTATTACAGGCTAATGCAGGTCACAGGTGGCCCCATGACGCCGGGCACAACTCCAGCGACCTAAAACAAGGAGACCCGCTTCAACACCCAACTCCGCAAATTAACGTGTTTTGAAAGATAATTGCACCCACCTGGCACTAGGCTCATTCAAAGCAACACTTTGTATTTGAGAAGATAGGCAAATGTGAATTATTTTGGGCGCTGTGGTGGTTTAAACTCGTTGAAAATATGTATTTTAGCAAACAAAGAGGTTACGCTTCTCTGCACTCTTCCTGACCCCTTGGGAGCTCCACTTAAATGGCTGTATTCAATGCCTCTTTACGGGTATGATTGGGTTGTAATTCAATGGAGAGCCATCACAGGGCTATATAGAAAATAACATCTACACTTAAATGTTGTGGACACAGCATAGGCAGCAGAACTGGTTCGGTCATAGAAATACTGCAAGTGAATATCACAGCCTGAAGTCTTTTATATTAATTCTGTTTGAGGATTTATAAACCTAATCCAGAGGCCTGTATGGAGATATACAGAGGGAGAAAACTCAGTGAGACACAAATACCCTGGGTGAAATACCCTCCCGAAAATTGACATTCATCGCTGCAGCTCTGAACGAATTCCTTCCCTTAACGACCTGTCAGAGAAATATAATTTCATATTTGAAATGCAAAGTGTGAAAGAAATAACATCTTTATGCAAATAGGCCCACTGCACTTTGTTTGGATAGTGAGAGATTGGATTACGGCTCTGTGTTGGCACTATCATGTAAAATCCCTCCTCAGAATGACAGAGTTTTACCTCTGGGAAGGAGAAAAGGTAATTTAACTCCCAATGATGGTGTCTTCTTTGTTGAATATATGTGAATAAGTCAGCAGCAGTGGAAAAGATTAGGGGAAAGACAAATAGACACAGTGCGGTATAATCTTTGTGATCACGTAGCATATACCTCAAGTTACAATAGAAGAGCCATTGTGAGGTTATATGGTTTCTGTATAAAATGACAAATGGAAGTTGTTTTACCTCTGTAAAAGAGGTTTGTGTATATTATATATCACACACACCACAAATGAGTAATGCAGTGGCCAAGTCAAACGGCGGCCCTGACATTTTCTACATTACTTAATAAAACGATGAAATCAACTTCTCATTATCATGAAATATTCAGTTACACCATTGGGTGTAGCCTCGTATATAGTTTTTTTATCCACTGTAATTATGCCTGTAAGAATCTTTTTAAATGATCAAATCACCCCCGTTTATAGGCGGTGTTTAATACATGTGGTGTTTAGTTGGTTGTGTTCTAAGTGTTTGGTTGTGTTTAATTATTTACACGGCAGTGGGTTGTTGCGTGCGGCGCTCGCCCATCAGTCATTCATCCCTACACGAGGGGGGTGAGAGAGAGCGGTTTCTCTTATGGAGTATGTAGACAAGCGTGCAGACACCACGGCCAAGGATGCCAGTCCCAGGTGGGAGGACGTACACCGGGATGACATGTCAGAGAGTAGTTTCTCTGCTAGTGGAGTGAACTTGTAATGACTTAGACCTACATAGAAACAGACCACAACTCCCATGATTCCACAGTCAGGAAGTAGGTCTTCATGTGATAGATACTGTATGTTGCTGAGGTGTCCTTGACTGACAGATACAGCTGGGACCCTGCTACTCCAGTTTGTTAGCCCAGCAATGGTCTCCTTCTAAAACGGCAAAATCAGCTACATTTGAGCGACTAGTGCATGTTTACAAACTGACGCGGGACACTGTGCACTACTTTTGACCAGGGCTTATAGGGTTCTTCTGGTCAAAAGTAGTGCACTATATTGGGAATAGGCTGCCATTTGGCTCATGGTCTTTCAGCCTTTGGGATAGTTTGGTCAGGAAGAGGACCTGTCTGTCTGTGTATTTGGTCTGTTCATCAGTCAGTGATTTACAGTCCACCCCTCAGGACAGCAGTCTTAGTGGGCCAGACAGGCGAGAGAGGCAGATTAGGAGGAAAGATAAAGTTGAGTGGCTTATTACAGAACATGACTAAGATATCAATCTGCCTGGCTCTGTATGAAGGAGGGTAGGAAGGATGGAAGGAGAGAGACAGAGAGATAGAGAGGGAATGGGCACAGAAAAGAGAAACGTTTGTGAGATCAGAGAGAAGATCAAATGCATTGAATTGGCCTTAGATGATCAGAGAGGGATGCCACTGGGGTCTCCTGTACGGTTTGAAAGTAGTATGCAGACCTAGCTTTTCATTGGGTATTCCTTAATGTTCGACTAATAGATGCACATAGGATTCTATCGAAGTCAGGTCTAAAATGGTGGATCACGTCTCAAAACGGATGCATCCCTGAAAGAGCGCATAATAACAATAATATCAGTCTGCTGTAGTTCCAAAGGCTGTGTCCCAAATAGCACCCTATTCCCTATGGGACCTGGTCAAAAGTAGTGTACTACATAGAGAATAGGGTGCTATTTGGGATGCACACAGAGTCTCTCTGCTCTGAGGAGATATGCTAGTGGAGCAGATGGAGGTTGTGGTTGGCTGAGACATAACGGCCCTCCGCTCACACTCCCATCCAGATGGATGATGTCCCTCAGCCTGAGACTGGGGCTCTGGGTCTTTAATCTGGGTCTTTAATTTTCCTGAGGTGAATCCGAATGCACCACCAGTCTCTCTCTGTGTGGATTTATTGTTTGGATACCAACATTCATCCAAGACTTGAATCTGATTATAAACTGGGTGGTTCGAGCTCTGAATGCTGATTGGCTAACAGCCGTGGTATATCAGAACACGGGTATGACAAAACTGTTATTTTTACTGCTCTAATTACATTGGTAAACAGTTTATAATAGCTATAAGGCACCTCGGGGGTTTGTTATATATGGCCTCTGCGTTGCGTCGTGCCTAAGAACAGCCCTTAGCCGTGGTATTTTGGCCATATACCACACCCCCTCGGGCCATATTGCTTAAATATACCACAGCCCATAGTAAAGTGTATCATCCACTGAATGTGGGCTGTAAATGTGGGACTACTGCTATGGCTCAAGTGTGCTAATCAGGAGATGAGAAACACATGGACTGTTGTATTCTTTTCACTGCATCTTAGTATGTTAGTTTGAAGATACTTGAATCTGTCTTTAAAGAACCTTTACATATTCTGTAACTTGAATGAAAACAGAAATGGCAAAGATGTACTAATTAACCTGTCGGAAAACGAATGGTATTTTTCCCTGTTTTGGACCCGCTATTCTGCAGGCATTAGATGATATCACTACTCAAGTCTCAAAGCTTTCTCTCTTGGCACACTACTAGACAGTTTAGAGCAACGTTATTAAGTTAACGAGATTCTGGTATTTGCATTAATGGCAGGCCTATATACATAATGTGCGTGTGTTCGTGTAACATTGGGACTGTTTCTGGGTGAACGGCCAAACTTCCTGACTACAGTTCCTGTATTACTGTTTATTTTTGTAATGTAAAGTAATGACAGGCACACCACAAGATTCAAAGAGATAAGATTTCACATGGATTTGCAATCAACAATACAATCAGACAGTATTGTTTATTACAGGTTAGCTTTGTCAGCCTCGAATTAAACATTCAGACACTTGTGTTTTTCCTCTTGAATTATGTTATATTGTCAAGAAGGAAATAATACTGAATTGTGTTTTAGTCCAATTATTGGCACTCAGTGGATGGACAACTAAATGCTGTATATTTTCAATTTAAATGTGGGCTAGAGGGAGCAAGCCCTGTCTCAAGCGAGCCAGACCCTGCCCTGCCCTGTGTATGTGTGTGGTCTCACCATTGGTACAGTAAGTACCCTAGCTGACCCGGGTCTAGTCCTGACCCCTTTCCTCTGGTCTCCTCAGCTCTGACGGCGGCGGCGGGCCGGGGCAAGATGGACGTGTGTGGCTTCCTGCTGGAGCAGGGGGCCGTGGTGCAGCAGGTCAACCGCAGGGGGGTCTCCCCTCTCTTCTGTGCTGTCAGACAAGGACACTGGCAGGTGAGACACACACGATCATATTGCCTCAAACTACAATTACACTTCAAAGGAACCATGATGATTAACCCAGAGGAAGTAGAGTTTAAGTCTGTTTGTGCGCGTGTGGGCGCGGATTAGATTGCAGAGCTGCTGCTGCAGCAGCATGGTGCTGACGTGAACATCAGTGACAAACAGGGACGGACACTACTTATGGTGGCGGCGTGCGAGGGCCACCTGAGCACTGCCGACTTTCTTCTGTCAAAGGGTGAGCTACCACGATGCTACGCTAGATAAAACTGTGACCCAAATGGCACCCTATTCCCTTTATAGTGCACTACTTTTACCAGTCTCAAAAGTAGCACACTGTATAGGAAATAGGGTGCCATTTGGGACACACACCATGTCAGCCATCACAATGCAAACCAGTCTGCTCTTTCTCTAAAGTCAGATGAAATCCACATTAAAAAAGATCAAAATATCAATAGCCACATTTCACACCCATTTTTATATTGAATGGTTTGTTGAGTGAAGGTCATATGCTGTGGTTTTGATAAATCTGATGTTGAATACTTAATTTATTCTTCCCTAGGTGCGTCGTTGACGTCGATGGACAAGGAAGGGTTAACGCCCATGAGCTGGGCATGTTTGAAAGGACATAAAAACGTTGTGCAGTTTCTGGTGGAGAAGGGTGCGGTCATAGACCACATGGACAAGAATGGACGGACTCCGCTGGACCTGGCCGCCTTCTACGGAGACGCGGAGATCGTGAGTAGAGAGATAAATCGACAGACAGTGAGACTGACAGACAGGCAGACGGACGGACGGGCGGGCAAGCGGACGGACGGACAGGAAGACAGACAAGACAGACAGACAGACATTAAGCTCAGTCTAAATCTGTCTCACTAGGCCTGCCCCTTAGTTAGGCCCAACACAAGTGCTCTGTGTCTCCTTATGGGACACAAATTACCACCGATCTATACGAGAGTTAAGAGTGTTTGTTCTGACTGTAGGGGAGTTAAGAGTGTGTGTTTGACTGTGTTGCTCCTGTTGTGAAGGTCCATTACCTGGTGGAGAAAGGAGCGGTGATAGAGCATGTAGACTACAGTGGCATGAGGCCGTTGGACCGGGCGATAGGGTGTCGGAACACGTCGGTAGTGGTGACCCTGCTGAAAAAGGGGGCTAAACTGGGTAAGAAACTAAGAACTCTATCTATGATAGAAATTGTCAGTTTGTGTTTGTTTCTAGATACACTGTTCTTTCAGTGAATGTATCCTACTCTCGTCCCAGTATTCCAACAACACTTTAGTCTAGTGATTGAACTACTCCAGCTTTACGATAGTAATGAGAAAAAGCTTACTTGTGCTTCCAGTCTCTTAAGTCCACTAAATATGATGAGGCTATTGCCATGGAATCTGGTGACCAACTCCTGGTTTCATTGATGCTCAGTGCTAAATAGGGTTACTCGATATCACATTTTGTCCTATCGTGATTCTGTACATATAAAATCGACCGATAGACAATGTTATCACCCCCTAACGGCCACCCCCCCCCCAAAATAATACATAAATAAAAATACAGTTTAAAAAGACCGCTAGCGTAAGCTCACATGCTACTGGAGGGACGAGAGGAATCATGACCTTGACAAAAGTTATTTAGTGGAGTCATTCTAGTAGACTATTCCACTCTGGTAGAGCTGAGTGACACACAGTCAAGAGCCTCGCTGGCTGTACGTTGTGTGATGGGTTATAAATCATCATGGGCTGCAGAGCAAGCAACTCTTCTGTCCTCAGAACTGGATAATTATGAACTGATTAGCATTTTTGCCTCATCTTCCTCTCTTGGGCCTAGGCTATATGTTGGTAGGTTGCACATTGCTAGAAAAATATGAAAACAGGCCTAGTCCAACTATAGCATTGTTTCTTTCATAAGATCTGCTCAGTTGTAGCCTAAGTTTTCTTTTTACTTGTCATTCGATTTTTCGATCTTGTTTTCTCAATTTCACTTTTGTGGCCTGAAATATTGATCATTCAAAATAAAGCTGTGAGAATATTTTGTTTTATCTTATCTCTCATTATTACCTTAGGTCTACCATGTTTTAAGTTATTCAAAAACAACTCGAAACTTTCTGAGAGCCTAGAACTCCATTAGATTCATTTATTGTTTGATCATGAAATCTAGCATGCATTAAACTGAAAGAGTAGCTTAGTAGGCCATGTCGTATTCATATCAAATAGAGAGAAAATAGACAATTTGAACAATGAAATGACACCGGAGTGTCCGCTATAAAAATAGACTTCAGCTATTGGCCCAGATCATCTGACATCCGTGAGAGAAAAAATAAAAGCAGTTTCGTACCAGACATTTTGCGCTGTTGTGGTGAAACTCTTAGCTCTGCCTACGTTGTTCTATTGCATTCTGTAAATATAACATATTTATTGAAATAGGATATAGCAAATAGGAATATCGGCAATCTACTCGGAATGTCACCCCGCTAGTGCTAAATTCAAGGGCAATGACACTGAACCGATTTCTACCAAGATTCAACTAGTGTGAGGCTTGGACGATATACCGTTTAAATTATTATTATTATTATTTGTTGGAGGTTGGGCGGGAGTGCGTGCTACGCCACTGCTTATAACTATAACTAAGTTAAGTATAACTATAAGAAATGTTAAGATGTGTCCAATAAATTATATCCAACTCAGGGCTCCAGCTATGCATTTGGTTTGCTAACTTGCTAGCTACATGGCTGAATGTCAATATCAAGCTTTTTGGTTACAGCAGAGACATTCAATCAATATTATTTTCTTTTTTTAAATAGCGCCCCTTGTGTGCACTTTCGGTAATACCGTTTACCCCGGTATGGTACAGAAACGGTATGACGGTATGAAAATCTGAAAGACTGCCCAACCCTAATGTGTAGCGTGTCTCTCTCTCTTTCTGTCTCTACCTTTCTCTCGCTCTCCCTCTCTTTCTCTCTCTCTCTCTCGCTCTCTCTTTGTGTGTCTGTGAGTTTCCTTTCTCCCAAAAGTGTGCCGGTGGGCTAATTTGAGAATGTGACTTATCACCTAAATGACATTCACTGAGCTATCTAGGCCTAGAGCTTATCTGCCTCATTTTACATCTGCAGTGCTGCCCAGCCAGGCACCTCACCCATAATTAGCTAATAATGGCCAATACCTCCAACCCTCTCCCCTTGCCTTGGTAGCAATGTCGCCTGCTCTTAGCACACAATGCTATCAGTCTCTATAATCTCAATTACCTTTACGACCAGCAAATCACCATTTTGTTTCATTATCATATCAATGCAATTATAGGTACAGTATATCCACTGGCAAACTCTCAGTATTATCAGTGCAGGAAATAAAATGGTGAGGCAATTTAAGCTTGGAAAGGTCTAAAATGAATAAATCACATTTTATAGCCATAGCAGTTTCAAATTATCTTCTGCTTTTCTGAATGCTTTTATCTGTTTGCATGATTCCTTCCCTCCTTCCTTCCTGCCTTCCTTCCTTCAATCTCTCATCATTTTTCTCTTCTGAACTGCTTTCAATGTAACCGTAAGGCTACAGAACGTCGCCTTATGATCGATCAGGTACAATCTTTAGGTAACTTTACCTTGTTACCAATTTCCTAGTGAATATAGTCCGTGGGTTTTGGAGCAGCAGTGGTGTAACTCTACTCTGTGTGTGTGTGTGTGTGGACCAACAGGGAATGCAGCCTGGGCTATGGCCACGTCCAAGCCTGATATCCTCATCATTCTCCTGCAGAAACTTATGGAGGAGGGCAACCTGCTTTACAAGGTATGGAAAAGAGATTAGGCTTGCGTCCCAAATGGCACCATATATTCCCTGGTCAAAAGTAGTGCACTATATAGGGAATAGGGTACCATCTGGAATGTAGGCTTGGCTTAACATTATACTGTTAGGTCTGAGTTTCTGGTTCTAAACAATGATATATACTGTGTATTGATATAGTCAAGTGTGTTCTGAGTAAATGGGCTACAATCTTTTACGATGGGCTACAATAAAAAAAAAGACTGACGCATACAATGTAATTACAGTGCATTCGGAAAGTATTCAGACCTCTTCATTTTTTCCACATTTTGTTAAATTACAGCCTTATTCTAAAATGGATTAAATGTTTTTTTCCCCTCATCAATCTAACACAATACCCCATAATGACAAAGCAAAAACAGTTTTTTAGAATTTTTTGCAAATGTATTAAAAATAAAACACTTTAATATCAAATTTACATAAGTATTCAGACCCTTTACTCAGTACTTTGTTGAAGCACCTTTGGCAGTGATTACAGCCTCAAGTCGTCTTGGGTTTGATGCTACAAGCTTGGCACACCTGTATTTGGGGAGTTTCTCCCATTCTTCTCTGGAGATCCTCTCAAGCTCTGTCAGGTTGGATGGGGAGCGTCGCTGCACAGCTATTTTCAGGTCTCTCCAGAGATGTTCGATCGGGTTCAAGTCCAGGCTCTGGCTGGGCCACTCAAGGACATTCAGAGACTTGTCCCGAAGCCACTCCTGCCTTGTCTTGGCTTTGTGCTTAGGGTTGTTGTCCTGTTGGAAGGTGAACCTTCGCCCCAGTCTGAGGTCCTGAGCGCTCTGGAACAGGTTTTCATCAAGGATCTCTCTGTACTTTGCTCTGTTCATCTTTCCCTTGATCCTGACTAGTCTCCCAGTCCCTGCCGCTGAAAAACATCAGACCAGAGAATCTTGTTTAGGTGCCTTTTGGCAAACTCCAAGCGGGCTGTCATGTGCCTTTTACTGAAGAGTGGCTTCCGTCTGGCCACTTTACCATAAAGGCCTGATTGGTGGAGTGCTTCAGAGATGGTTGTCCTTCTGGAAGGTTCTCCCATCTCCACAGAGAACTCTGGAGCTCTGTCAGAGTGACCATCGGGTTCTTGGTCACCTCCCTGACCAAGGCCCTTCTCCCCCGATTGCTCAGTTTGGCCGGGCAGCCAGCTCTTGGTGGTTCCAAACTTCTTCCATTTAAGAATGATGGGGGCCACTTGGGGACCTTCAATGCTGCAGACATTTTTTGGTACCCTTCCCTAGATCTGTGCCTCGACACAATCCTGTCTCGGAGCTCTACGGACAATTCCTTCAACCTCATGGCTTGGTTTTTGCTCTGACATGCACTTTCAACTGTGGGACCTTATAAAAACAGGTGTGTGCCTTTCCAAATCATGTCCAATCAATTGAATTTAACACAGGTGTACTCCAATCAAGTTGTAGAAACAGCTCAAAGATGATCAATGGAAACAGGATGCACCGGAGCTGAATTTCGAGTCTCATAGCAAAGGGTCTGAATACTTAAGTAAATAAGGTATTTCAGTTTTTTTTTCAGTTTTTTATTTGTAATACATTTGCAAAAATGTGTTGTGTGTAGATTGATAAGGAACATTTTTTATTTAATCGATTTTAGAATAAGGCTCTAACGTAACAAAATGTGGAAAAAGTGAAGGGGTCTGAATACTTTCCAAACATGATATCATTGGATTGATTGGCCATCAGGGGGAGTGTTTGTATAAAAAGGACACCTCAGCCACTGTAATTTGGTTGAGAGAAAACAACATAATGACTGTTATATTTTGAGCAGCTCAGTGCGACGAAGCAGAGATGAATGGGTGTGTGCAACGCCACGCTCACCGTTTGAGCTGGGATTGATCCGTGACATTTAACCTCTACAGGTTAAGTAACAGCAAACTTTCCAGGACATAGACATGTCTTATATGGTTAGAAAGCTTAAATTCTTGTTAATCTAACTGCACTGTCCAATTTACAGTAGCTATTACAGTGAAAATATACCATGCTATTGTTTGAGGAGAGTGCACAACAACAAAAAATGTATCATGGCAACTGGTTTGATACATTCACCTCTGAAGGTAAATAATGTACTTACATTCAGTAATCTTGCTCAGATTTGTCATCCTGAGGGTCCCAGAGATAAAATGTAGCATAGTTTTGTTTGATAAAATAAATTTTTATATTCAAATGTAGGAACTTGGTTCTACAGTTTGAACCCTTGCTGTCTCTGGCTCCACACCCACCCCGCCCGGCCATCTAGATGTGTGAAAGTTAGTGTATTAGCTAATGATCCATCATGTATGACATTCCTGGGAGTATGTCAATTTACATTTTGTATTACCATGTCATTTTTGTATGTTCTCTATAGTTATGTACTTGAAAATGTATCAATTGACCAATTCGGCACATTTGGGCAGACTTGATACAAAATAGTCCAGTATTGCAACGCTTCACTGGATCAATCTAAAAACGTTGCACACACACTGCTGCTAACTAGTGGCCAACATCTAAATTGCACCTAAACTGCAATATTATATTGTGGCCTTTCTCTTGCATTTCCAAAGACGATAAAAACATTTTTTTTAAGAAAATGCATGTTTTTTTGTTTGTATCATCTTTTCCAGATCTAATGTGTTATATTCTCCTACATTAATTTCAAATTTCCAGAAACTTCAAAGTGTTTCCTGAGCTACAGGCAGTTAGATTTGGGTATGTCATTTTAGGCGAAAAATGAAAAAAGGGTACGATCCTTAAGAGGTTAACAGATTGAGTTGTCGCAGAAAGGACAATCCGCTCAGGTGGAACCTGTGTGTGATTGATGAGAGAGGGAGGGACTGTGTGTGAGCTGCTGCGACACGCCTCTTGGGTTGGGGGAGGATCTGACGACCGTCCTTCTGTCCCTCGCTCTTTCCCCCTGTCCCCTCCATCCCTCCATCCCTCTCTCTCCCTATTTTTCCCCCTCCCTCCCTCCCTCCCCTCCCTCTCTGTCCTTCAGAAAGGGAAAATGAAAGAGGCAGCCCAGAGGTACCAGTATGCTCTGAGGAAGTTTCCCAGGGAAGGGTTCGGTGATGACCTGAAGGCCTTCAAGGAGCTGAGGGTGTCTCTGTACCTCAACCTCTCCCGCTGTCGCAGGAAAACCAACGTAAGAAAACCAACACGTCCTCCTTTTCTCCTCTAATACTGGATTTACTGGAACATTTGTTCCCAAAGGTCTCTGTTAAAAAGACACAATATGCGATCAGGTCATGTATAACAGTAGCACGGGACGTTGGAAGATAGTTAACGTGAAAAAACTGTTGTTGTGCTGTGGGTTTTTGAACATATTTGAAAGAAATGCTCACCAGAAGATACAGTCCAAACTAATGATTTCACAGACAGAAGTATGGCTGTTATGGCTGCTGTTAGGGAGTAGTAGACAGCGCTTAAAAGCCCCATGATACAATTTCGAGCCAATTCGTGTTCCAGGTCTATGATCGATGAAACGTGCCATAAACTAACACAATGCTCTCAGAAACAGATTGAATGCATTAAATTATACTATCTACTACTGGGACAGAATTATAGCTATTAAGCGGTCCAGTTGAGTGAGTCTGATTGAGCCATTTGAGGCTAAATGATAAACTGTTTAGAAGTCCATAAGCAATAGTATGCTTGTAGTCATTACTGGGGCTAATGTCAGCTTGTTCCCATAAACATTCAAAGTGTGAGAGAGAGAGAGACAATGGACAATGTGCATGTAAATTTCCCTGCATTGGTTATTCATATTGATCTTCCCATTCCCTCGCAACAGGACTTTGGCATGGCTGAGGAGTTTGCAACAAAGGCCCTGGAGCTGAAACCCAAATCGTACGAGGCCTATTACGCCCGCGCCCGAGCCAAGAGGAGCAGCAGGTAAAGCTATTCATCAAGAGAACCCTCAAGTGGCTCTTTTAGGGGGGCATTGTTAGTATGCTTGTTTAGAAGTACTGCGCTTCTTGATTGACCCCCTTAGTCACTCTCATTCTCTCACGACCGTCCCTCTCTCTCTCTCTCTCTCTCTCTCTCTCTCTCTCTCTCTCTCTCTCTCTCTCTCTCTCTCTCTCTCTCTCCATCCCTCAACAGGCAGTTCACGGCAGCCATGGCTGACCTGCACGAAGCGGCCAAGCTGTGCCCCAACAACCGGGAGATCCGGCGGCTGCTGGCCCGTGTGGAGGAGGAGTGTAAGCAGATGCAGCACAGCACCACCCAGGGCAACCCGCAGGGGGCAACGTCCTCGTCCAACCAGGCTCCGGCCAACCACGACTCTGAACACGAACACGAGGAGGGGGAGGAGGTGTCGGAACATAGCATGGCTGTCAGTAGAGGTCTGGATGGACAGAACACTCTGAGGTTGAATGATGTGGAAGAGGAAGAGGGGACTTCTCAGTCTCAACACTCAGATAGGAGAGGAGAGAAGGGTGAGCCCTGGCCTCAGAAGATCTACTCCCTCAATAGAACTCTGCCTGACTCCCTCAGCCTGGCCACCCAGCCGCAGCAGCAGAGCACCAGGCCTGGCTCTCCCCCCTCCGGCCTCACAGGCCCTGGCAGGCTGAGTCACCACCGCTACCCCCCCAGGGAGCCCAGAGAGCCCATGGCCCAGCAGGGCCTGATCCTCCAGCCCACCAAGCAGGCCCAGATAGTGAAAACCAACAAGCACATGAGCTCCCTGCAGGCAGGAGGCCGCTCCTCGGGGGCCAAGTCCCAGTCCCAGTACGCTCCCTCCAGCCCCCTGCCCAGCCGACACATGTCCAGCATGCTGAAGCCAGGGCCAGGGCTAGGCATCGACATCAGCCCTCTACCGCCCCCTCCTGACGAGCCTGTCTACGGGGAGCAACGCCTGTCCATGGCTGCTGCCTCGCAGTCCCAGAAGATGGCTATGGGCCATCACTGTGACAGGGACATCGAGTCCCTGCACTCGTCCCAGGGCACCTACTCTTCCTGCAAGGCCCAGGACCGTCTGTCTGCCCACTCGGTGTCCTCCCCGGATGCTCTGACTTCAGGGTCTCCCCAGGGCCTCCTCGACACTGCAGGGCCAGGCCAGGAGCAGAGGAAGGAGTGCGGGGGTAATGGGGTCTCCCAGGCATGCTCCCAGGGGGGAGACAGCAACATCAGGGTGTCCAGCTCCACCAGCTCCCTGGCCTCCAGCAGTAGTCTGTCTGACAGCGGCAAGCTGCAGGGCCCTGACGTACGCACCAAGACCACCACAGACAAGGCCAAGCAGGGCCAGAGCCAGGGAGGCACGAGCGAGTGGAAACCCAGGCCCTTCATGGGCATCATGGACAAGACGGCACGCTTTCTTCAGCAGCAGCAGCAACAACAACTGCAGCAGCAACAGCAGCACCAAGGACTCCAGAGCCACCCGGGCCTTCAGCCCCCCACCGGAGCCCTCCGCACCTGGCAGAGTCACTCCTCGGAGGGATTAGTGTGCCAAAACATATCTGCCATGGGCCTCCAGACGACGGGGGCAAACTGTGAGCTACCTTATGCCAAAACAGGGAGCACTTACTACGAGCAGCTCAAAGCTCCATCTCAGGGTGCTATGGGGAGCCTGCAGAATGGAATGCACTCGAAGGAATTCACAGAAAAGTTCTGCCAAGCAGCCACCTGTTACAAGGAATCCAAGCCAGCGCTGGCCATGCCGTCGCACGCTTTTGTGGACAGTAAGCCCAAGCAGCCGAGCTTAGCCCGAGATAATCCCGCCATTCACGTAGCCTCAATGAAACCAAAGCGATCATTCATAGAGTCAAATGTGTAGGGATATGTATCTCCCCTCTTTCAACACACAGAAACACACGCAGATTCCGATACACGCACGCACATACACAACACACACATGCACATTGTATACACACACACTCAAGACACACATAAACACTCAACACACATCTTAGCAAAAATTGTAAGTGGAGGGATTGCTTAAGTTTTTACCAGCCCATCGAAAAATTGTGTTTTAGGTCGAAACTTTTAAAGAAGTTTGTTCCCCCCTGTGAATATCTGCCACAGGCAGCGTTTTGATTGAAGCAGAAACAGAACGGATTTCTTTCTTTCCTACTAATGCATACGGCTGTTTGCTTCTGTTACAAGACAACATGCTCCCTGTCATTCAGCAAAGCTGGAGACATTGCACTGAGACAGTCATTGGGCATGTACTAATAGAAAAAACAGTCACAGCACTTTACGCATTTACATAGGCCTTTAAGTAAAGTGCTTATACAATATATTGTATTACAATATAATGTTATTACTGAGTTGTTCAAGGTTGAGTATAAAACAATTTTTGCATCCCAAATGGCTCCCTATTCCCTAAATAGTGCTCTACATTTGACCAGCCCTGGTGAAAAGTAGTGCACTACATAGGGAATAGGGTGCAATTTGGGACGCATCCAATGGGATTTGAACTGTGTTCATTACGTCAATGGTGCTGAAGGAAGAATTATGGAGCTATATACAGTGCATTCGGAAAGTATTCAGACCCCTTGACTTTTTCCACATTTTGTTACGTTACAGTCTAATTCTAAAATTGATTACATCATTTGTTTTACTCATCAATCTACACACAATACCCCATAATGACAAAGCGAAAACAGGTTTTTAGAATTTTTTGCAAATGTATTAAAAATAAAAAACAGAAATATCTTAGTTACATAAGTATTCAGACCCTTTGCTATGAGACTCGAAATTAAGCTCAGGTTCATCCTGTTTCCATTAATCATCCTTGAGATGTTTCTAAAACTTGATTGGAGTCCACCTGTGGTAAATTCAATTGATTGGACATTATTTGGAAAGGCACACACCTGTCTATATAAGGTCCCACAGTTGACAGAGCATGTCAAAGCAAAAACCAAGCCATGAGGTCGAAGGAATTGTCCGTAGAGCTCCAAGACAGGATTGTCTCGAGGCACAGATCTGGGGAAGGGTACCAAAATATTTATGCAGCATTGAAGGTCCCCAAGAACACAGTGGCCCCCATCATTCTTAAATGGAAGAAGTTTGGAAGCACCAAGACTCTTAATAGAGCTGGCCACCCGGTCAAACTGAGCAATCGGGAGAGAAGGGCCTTGGTCAGGGAGGTGACCAAGAACCCGATGGTCACTCTGACAGAGCTCCAGAGTTCCTCTGTGGAGATGGGAGAACCTTCCAGAAGGACAACCATCTCTGCAGCACTCCACCAATGAGGCCTTTATGGTAGAGTTGCCAGACGGAAGCCATTCCTCAGTAAAAGGCACATGACAGCCCTCTTGGAGTTTGCCAAAAGGCACCTAAAGGACTCTCAGACCATGAGAAACAAGATTCTCTGGTCTGATGAAACCAAGATTGAACTCTTTGGCTTGAATGCCAATCGTCACGTCTGGAGGAAACCTGGCACCATCCCTATGGTGAAGCATGGTGGTGGCAGCATCATGCTGTGGGGATGTAGAGAAGAATGGGAGAAACTCCACAAATACAGGTGTGCCAAGCTTGTAGCGTCATACCCAAGAAGACTCGAGGCTGTAGTCACTGCCAAAGTGCTTCAACAAAGTACTGAGTAAAGGATCTGAATACTTATGGAAATGTAATATTTCAGTTGTTGTTTTTTATACATTTGCAAACATTTCAGAAAACCTGTTTTTGCTTTGTCATTATGGGGTATTGTGTGTAGGTTGATGATCGAAAAAAGTAATTTAATCCATTTTAGAATAAGGCTGTAACGTAACAATGTGGAAAATGTCAAGGGGTCTGAATACTTTCTGAATGCACTGTAGATAGAAGAGATGTAAGGATATGTTTGAGATGGGCATTCCTGTGTTTTAAGGATGTTGTAGTTCCTCACGTTGTGTTTATAAATATGTATTTGTCCTTCTTTTGAGTGAAGGTCTTTGTCAGTGTATTGACTTGTTCAACTTATGTGTATTTTGAGTTTTATTTTGGTGTTCAAGGTTCTAAAAAATGTATATGTTTATATGTTTGTACATTCTATGAATCGCCCGATAACGTTAAAAACTCAATCCTCTCTGTATCTGCTTGTTGTTGCTGTCTAGGTTAATTTATTTACAGCGCCTATGGCTTGGTTAATTGTAAAAGCAATATATTTTATATAGTTATTTTTGCACAGCTACTAAGACATTTTACGATTTCAATAATAAGCTCTGTGAAAATAATATTGGTTTAAGTGCATGCCACAATTGCAGTTTATAATAAAGAGTAAAAAATATTTAAACAAAAAAGGTTTAGGGGGGCGTGGGGCCATCGATAATATTTTAATATGCATGTTACTTGCAATGGTTGCCATGTTTCCAGTATTGTGAGCTGTGTTACCCATAAATCACATACTGTAATAGAACATTACTGCCATACCCACAATGGGGAAATAAAGTCCCACTGAGAAAACGCAGACCTTCTGGCTCTCATTGTGGCAGGGAAAAGAAGGGGCACAGTTCGACATTGCTCTGGTCCAGGGCATTAGTGAGCGTTTGAATGGACACTAACGACTTGGACCAGAGCTAAGTTCGACAATACATTTTAGAACAACATGTTTATACTGCATATACAGTACATCAGTGGCGGCCGGTGCCGTTTAAGATGAGGGAGGACGATAAAATATTTTATGAGAATGGCTTTTTTTCTATTACAGAATATTGGATGACTGTCATTTATATTCCATTCACCCAGCTCAATGTAACATCGATAGATTTAGGCTACTATATGATACTCAAATGTTCCTATATCCATCATGAGGTTGCTACAACCTAGCCTATGAATGAAAGTTTACAACGTTGGTGCACAGGTCAAGATAATTTTTTGTAATCAAGGCGACAGTGACACATTCAATACCGCCTATACTCATCTAGCTGATCTAGGGCGTAATCATTAGTCCAACAGTTACAAACGAGAGTTTCTATTGCTCGTTGCAATGTGTTTTCGCATCTAAGCGCTCTTCTCCTCTCACCTTTTCCCTTCGCTTGTGGTATTCAGTGAACAACACATCAGCTGTCTGTGACCAGGCGAAAAAACCTTTCCAAGCCAAACCTTCATATCATAACCGCTAACCGCTACACACAGCCTACATCATTGTCACCATATTATCTAACGTCAAAGGCAACATAGCTAATATAACTAACGTATTAAATAGTAAACCTGCTACAATCATGCAGTCCAGTCAGCAAGCACTTTAGCAGTTACACCGGCGGGCCTCGGTGGCAATAAATTAATAAAACCAAAAGCTTACCTTGACTTGGAAGAGTTCCAGGGTTGGATAGCCAACATAGCATCCCTCTCTGTTTAAGACGGGTGTTTAAGACGGGTGTTTGAGTAGGCCAAACTAGCTAGCTAGCTAAGTAAGTGAAAGTAAAAGTGAAAAAAAATACTAGGAAATATAGCTAGCTCGCTCTCTCTCTCCCTCTCGCTTTTGCTTCTCCTTCATTTTTGAAGAAATGTATTTGTTAAATACTGTCCAACTATTGTCTCTCTCTCTCTTTGAGTCAACTACTCACCACATTTTGTGTACTGCAGTGCTAGCTAGCTGAAGCTTATGCTTTCAGTACTAGATTCATTCTCTGATCCTTTGATTGGGTGGACAAAATTGGAGGTTGTCCTCCGGAAGTTGTCATAATTACTGTGTAAGTCTATGGGCGGGGGTGAGAACCATGAGCCTCCTAGGTTTTGTATTGAAGTCACTGTACCCAGAGGAGGACGGAAACTAGCCGTCCTCTGGCTACACCATGGTGTTACCCTACAAAGTGCTGTTGAGGCTACTGTAGACCTTCATTGCAAAACAGTGTGTTTTAATCAATTATTTGGTGATGTGAATATATACTGAACTCAAATATAAATGCAACAATTTCAATGATTTTACTGAGTTACAGTTCATATAAGGAAATCAGTCAATTGAAATAAATAAATTAGGCCCTAATAAATGGATTTCACATTACTGGGCAGGGGCGCAGCCATGGGTGGGCCCACTTGGGAGCCAGGCCCAGCCAAGAGTTTTTCCCCACAAAAGGGCTTTATTACAGACAGAAATACTCCTCAGTTTCATCAGCTGTCTGGGTGGCTGGTCTCAGATGATCCAGCAGGTGAATTTGTATTTATTATGGATCCCCATTAGCTCTTCCTGGGGTCCAGCAAAATTAAGGCAGTTATACATTTTAAAAACATTACAATACAGATTTCACAACATATTAAGTGTGTGCCCTCAGGCCTCTACTCTACTACCACATATCTATAACACAAAATCCTTGTTTACATGTGTTTATAGTTCGTATGTTATTGTGTGTTTGTATGCATGTGTCTATGAAGCTGTCCTGGGCTGGTGTTGTTACGCGTGGTCTGCGTTTGTGAGGCCGGTTGGACTTACTGCCAAATTCTCTAAAAGGCGGCTTATGGTAGAGAAATTAACATTTAATTATCTGGCAACAACTCTGGTGGACATTCGTGCAGTCAGCATGCCAATTGCACCCTCCCTCAAAACTTGATACATCTGTGGCATTGTGTTGTGTGACAAAACTGCACATTTTAGAGTAGCCTTTTATTGTCCCCAGCACAAGGTGCACCTGTTTAATGCTCATGCTGTTTAATCAGCTTCTTGATATGCCACACCTGTCAGGTGGATGGATTATCTTGGCAAAGGATACATTTTTACTAACAGGGATGTAAACAAATTTGTGCACAAAATTTGAGAGAAATAAGCTTTTTGTGCATCTTTTATTTCAGCTCATGAAACATGGGACCAACACTTTACATGTTGCGATTATATTTTTGTTCAGTATATTTAGT